CCCGTGTGGATGACGCTACTGCCCGCATGCCGCTGCGAGATGGAGCTGCCGACGCCAAATCCGTCATCATCGTCATCATCAAACGAATCGCCGTTGACGCTCGAGGCTGTGGTATGGCTCTGTGAGTGCCCGTAGCCGTAGGCGCCGGTGCCGTGCGCAGGACCGGCGCCGTACGCATGCGTCTGCTGCTGTTGCTGCTGCGGATGCGGATGCGCACTGCTCAGCGGACGGACGCCGCTCGCGCTGCCGCCGAAGCTGCCAAAAAAGCCACTGCCGCCGACATTACCGCCTGCCATGGCGGATGTCCAGCCGGGCGTGTGCGGACGCGAGTGGCCGACACTGGCAGCACCCATGTGGCTCTGGCCGTACGCCATGCGTGGGTCGCCACCACCACCGCCTCCGCTGCCGCCCCAAGCATAGTATGGCATGGTGGGGCTGTGCGGAGCGGGTATGCCCAAGATGCTGGAAAAACCATGCTCACCACCGAAGCGCGAGAAGGAGCTTGCTCCGGGAGTCTGCGTCTGGTAGTTGGCGAACGGATGCGGCGTGACCGGAGCCGTGCCGGGTCCATGCGCGCCGTGGATGCCGCTCGAGCCGGGTTGCGCATAGCCGTATCCGTACGCAGTCCCGCCGCCACCGCCACTACCACCAGCGCCACCACCAGCACCCCCACCGCGCGCGCTCATCGGGTAGCTGGCGTACGACGCTGGGCCGCTGCCTGCAACGCCACTCGCGCTGGCGTAGTAGTGGCCATACGCGAGCGACGCTGCTTCGGCGTCGGCCGCCTCTTGCGACATGGTGTCGCGGCCGAACAGCCAGGGCAGAAATGTGACAGTGATTGTCTGGTCGATGATGCCTGCGCGAGTTCCATCTGTGCTCGGGTCGCAAAAGGGGTTGACAGCGTGGCGGGTCGTCAGCGAGGAGCCACACTGCCGGGAAGGATTATGGAGAAGCTGCTCACCGAATTCAAAGTCACTGCAAATGACATCGCGCAGTTCCGAACGGACGTCGAGACCAGGGAGCGAGAACGCCATGATGAACTGGTTCGCAATCTGTTCGTGGCCATGAGCGCTGAGGAGCGGCGATTCGAACACTGCATTAAAAATCAGGAAAATCCATCAGCGACCGGTGGTCGCATCAACAGCCGCACCAACCACACGTAACTGCAGGTACCCACATGCGTTGCCCTCGTAGTACCTCCCGACCATCTCGCGCACCTGCTCGGGCTTGCGCTTACCTCCGTACAGCGTGGCGTGCAGGCCGAGCAGCACGTCCGTCAGTGTCGAAGGCGACGGCGGGCGGCCCTGCGGATGCGCGCTAGGGTGGCGCGCTGCGCCCATTTGCTGCTGCTGCTGTTGCAGCAGCCCGCCACCGCCGCCTACCGAAGCAGATGCCGGCACTGACGCCGTGGCTGCGTGCGCAGAGGCTGTCGCGCCACTGTTTGCGCTGCCAAAGCCAAAACTGAGGGAGGAAAGGGCGCCAGCGAGGGTGCTGCTTCGACCGCGGTGTGTCATTGTGCCTCCCGCGCTGGCGCTGTTGTTGCTGTTATTAGTGTTACTGTTGCTGCTGTTGCTCGACGTAAATGTTGCGGGGCCAAGGTTGAGATGTGTCAACGAGGACGCCGGTCCGCCCGCGAGGACATCCTTGATGCTGACATTGCTGCCGCTGCTAGCCACAACCGCCGGCGTCGAAGGTGTGGTGGCTGGCGCAGCCGATGCACCGTCGCCACCAGCCGCTGACGCAGGTGTGGCTGTCTCTGCGCCGGAGCTGTCTCTGACATAGGTTAAGCTACCCCGTTCGCCGCTGGTAGCAGTGGCTATCGAGAGAGACTCCATGGTCGAGAAACCGGCGCCACTACCAAAGTAGCTCCCACAGGTCGAATGCGACTTGCTCATGCCAAAAGTACCGCTTGTGCTGCTGTACACTTCTTTCTCCCCACGACCGCCAGCGTTGCTGCTGCTGTTGTCCGCGAGTAAATGAGAAGGCAGTTCTGCTGCCCCTGCGCCCGCTCCAGTGGCAGTTGCAGACGATGAGAACGAGCTCACTGCTCGTGCATGTGCACAGCCACCCGCGCCCAAGCCAGAGACGGAGCCGGTGCGAGCACCCGCTGAGCGACCGCCGGCGGTGCTTGATGCAAAGCTGCCGGGCCCAAGGTTGGCAGGCGGCAGCGCGCCGGAGAAGTACGAGTCAGACTGTGGACCTGGCTGACGGGGATGGTAGACGAAGCCGCTGCCGCCGCCACCACCGCTCCCGGACGCGGCGCTGCCAGAAGAATGGAAGCGCTTATGTGCTGCGCTGGCAGAGCCTGTGAACGCTGAAGAGCCTGTGCCGCTAGGAGGCGGAGGCCTGTAGTAGTTGGGTGCAACGTATATGGCTGTGGTGCTGCCGGGACAGCACACGTCCTTGGTGTCCTTCTCTTTGTCCTTGTGCCCCCTCTCTGGGGACGTTGTGCTGCTACAGCCGCCAGGGCCTACTCCTGCCGAGTTGACTGCAAGAGCCGACGGCAAGGGTTCGCCGGCGTGCTTGCCGCCACTGCCGCCTACGGTGGGCAAGTGCTGATGAGAGAGTTTGCTGCTGCTGCTGCCGTGGGTGGAGTTGATGCTGTGATCATCAACACCAGCACTAGCTGGGGCTGGGGCGCCTTGGCTGCTGCTGTTTCTTTTAGCCGGACCTGACGACGACGGTGAAGGGAATGGCAGGATGCTGGACATGCTTTTGATCGTTTCCTCTCACGATCGTTGTACGAGTGTGGTACTCGCTTGTATATACAACCGAATGGGGAGGGTATGTCGATCGGTAAAGTAGGGTCAGACGTGCTGTTGAGGCGTGGTGATCATGCTTTATTGAGACTGCCCAGGTGTGCCCAGCCTGCCGGCCTCTACACAATACAGCACGAGGCGCGCGGCGCTGTCGTCTCACAGAGTGTCGTCGTCGTCGTCAACGGGTCAATTCCTGTTGGGATTGCAACACACATCCTTTGGATGACGTTCACTCTACGGCTGTTTGCATGTATGACTGACCCCGAGCAAGACTTTATACGCCTCACGATGAGCCTCCATTTGATTATGGGCGATATAGGATGAGCGAGCGCTGGGTGGTAAATCAAAGCTATACACATGGATGGCAGCTGTACAAACATGGATACATACAAACAACATCTGCCGCGCACGCGTCCACAGCCCACCAACGACGGTTTGAACGCTGTGCTGGGCTGCTCTGGAAACACTGTGGCCAACTCTCTCTCTTCCAACCCTGACTCGATTTGAAGGGTATATATGGGGGATGTGCAGCTCTGCATGCTTCCATCGCCAGGCCACCACTTCAGAGGCAGCTTGGGCTGGTCTCAGCGTCTGGGTTTGAACCCCCCCCTGAGCATAGCCAAGGGAGAAGCATGCAGCCATTCCATCTGTATGTACGTATGTATAGCGTGGGCCACAAGTATGGATCCGGAGAGCAGCTCTTGCTCTTTTCCCTCGCTCGCTCCGCCTTCATATCGTTGTTAAAAATCCGGGGAACTGCATTGTGTGAAAGAGCAGAGTCCATCGACTATCTACTCTTCCCTTGCCATGTCGATCCACATCCCCGATGCCCCTTATTGACCCGGTGCCGCTAACCAGCACGAGCGCAACCCTACATATATACATACATACAGAGAGCACTTCGCGTCCGCCCCAAGGGAATAACATTCTGTGCAAATGCCGCCATCCTCATCCCAGCTGTCCGCGTCTCATCTCCGCATCCCGCGCTAAAGCTCGCCCAGCCCGGCGAAGAGGGATGGCGCAACTGACTGCATACGGCAGTGCGTCAGGTGCATACGAAAGGAGCACAGATGCAGTGGAGGAATGGATTAATACAGCAGCGGTTCGGTCGGCCCAGCCGCGTAGATAGGTGCAAGCTACCAGCATGTATGACACGCAAGATTTCCCAAGTGAACTCCGTCCCCCCAAAATAAAAAGGAGCCGCGGATAATTATCTCCGAAAATGGTTCAAGACTGCAGCCCTTTGATCGCAGCATTAGTCAGGTCCCACGTACTCGTATCGCTATCGACGCTCCAGAAGCCGACGCCGGCGATGCCCGTCTGCTTAGCGAACGCCGCCTTGTCCAGGATGGACTGCGTGTCGTCGTACATGATGGCTTGCTTGCCATTGTATAAGAACGGCGTGTCGCTGCACCTGTCCATACGGCGCGTCCACCCGGCACCCGCGTCGTACGTGCCGTCGGAGCGCTTCACCAGCGCGCCCCTCGTCACGAGCGTCCTGAACGGCGTCTGGCCCTCCGTCAGCGCCGGTTTCTTCGTGAAGCTGGCGCTCGACAGCGCCCGGTGTGACAGGAGCCGCCGGTCGAACCGCCCGCCGCGGTACCCGGGTGGGTCCATGGCACCAGCCTGTGACGCGAAGCGGCGGTGCGCAGCGGGTAGGGTCATCTGCCCCTGCTGCTGTTGCTGCTCGATGCTCAACTCGCGTCGGCCCTCCCGGATGCTCGTAACGCCCGAGTTGGACACGTACCCATACGCAGGCAAGCCTAGCATGATCTTGCTCGCCGGCATACCCGCGGCGACCCACTGCCTGACGCCCGCAGCAGCCGAAGCTTGCGGCTGGGTACTGTTGTCGCAGAGGTTCGCCAGCGGCGCATTTGGAGCTGGGTTGCTCGATGAGCCCCAGACGTCGTAGTTCATGATGAACACGTAATCGATTACCGACGCTGCGCGTGCCACACTCCGGACAGGACTCCCATTCGAGCCGATCCACGGCAGGTGTGGCACAGCGGCGGTGATCAGCGCGCCCTGCGGCAGAGCGGAGCGGAGCTCCTGGAAGAATGTCTGCAGGTTCGCCGCATCCGCTGCGCTCTTCTGGTTGTTGCCGGCGCCATCGGCGTTGGGGTACTCCCAGTCGATGTCGATGCCGTCCAGATCGTACTTCTGGTAGACGCCCATGATGCTGTTGATAAACGTGCTGCGCGACGACGACGTCGCGACGGCTGGACTGAACTTATCAGACTGGCCCCAGCCGCCGAGCGCCAGGATGACCTTGGTCTGGCTTGCATGCGCTGCGTTCACGAGCCGCTGCAGAAGCGACCTGGACCCGCCATCAGTGAACGAGACACCGAATGATGAACTCGGGACTGCAAATGCAAAGTAGATGATATCGTAGCGCGAAAAGTCGATCGATTCAGGAGGCATCGTGCTGGCCGTCCACTGCAAAAAGATATGTACAGTCGAGCATCAGCTCGAGTCGATTCACAGGAAACTGCAGACGGTCCAACTCACCTCAGCCCAATAGCCAGCTACAAGCTGATCGCCAGACTTGCTGTTCTTGATGGGCTTGGAGCCGACCGTGACATTGACGCCATGAGTTCCGATGCTCGCGCCGACTCCCGCTATACCAACTGAAGCGAGCGGTATGCCGGACGAAGAGTCTGAGTCTGGGTCAGAGTCGGACGAGCCAGACGTGGCGCCGCTACCCGAGCTAGCGCCAGCCTGAGCCTTCCCCGAACCCTGCGGCGCGCCGAAAGCACCGCCGAGCAGACCACCAATACTCGAATCAATCGAGTTCACCGTCGAGCCAAGTGCATCAGTGACCGAGCCAAGCGCACCCTGTACGCTACCCAGAAGCCCGTCGGAGGCCAGTTGCTGCGGTGCTGCTGAAGAGCTTCGGGGCTCGGCTGCGACGGCAACGGCGGAGAAGCCTTGCGATGGGAACCGAACGTGCGCCGTGGCTGTAGGTTGGGGACGAACCGGATCGTGTGATGCATTCGGCTGGTTAGCCACGACGAAAGCAGGAGCAATGACAGGTCCAATGATGTACGCCGACGGCTCGTTCACAATGGCCGCTTGAACCTGCTTGGATGCTGCGGCGGCGACGGAAGGTGTGGGCGTCACAGTTGTGCTCTCCGTGACAGTGACAGTGACGACTGCATAGTAAGCTGTCGGGGTTGAGATTGTGGTTGATGAAGGAGCAGGTGCAGCAAGGACAGGGCTGTCGATAGGACTCGAAGGGCTTGTTGCGGAAGCAGTCGCTGCACCATCGCTACTGCTGGATGTAACGATTGCGCCAGCGGTTGAAGCCTCTGCGCGGGCATCATCAGATGGAGTCGCAGCTCCATCACTAGTCCCGTTGCTGCTGCCACTTCCGCTATCCGCATCACTGCCGTCGGATGAGCCAGCTAGCGCATCATTAGCAGGGAACGCAGCATCTGAGCTGCCATCATCACTGCTACTGCTGCTGTGGTCGTTGTCGCTGGAGGGACTTCCCCCATTGGAAGTGAGGACATCCTCCGATGCGGACGGTGCTCCTGAGCTCGAGTCAGAATCCGACTTTGCCCCCCTACTGTCACTTGAGCCGCTAGAACTGTCTTCATCATCGCCATCGCCACCGTGACTCGCGCGCCTGCGCTGGAGACCGCCTACGCTGCTGACGCTGCTCTGCAGATGCCTCTCGCCATGCATCTGCAGCCAGTGCTGGAGGAGGAATCGCTGCTCCTCTTCCGAGTAGACACCACCATTCGCCATCGACGCGAAGATGTAATCGCGTCGACTTGAAATTGTGGGTGCCTCAGAGCCCACTGTCTGCCATGAAGCAAGGACCCGGTTAGGTTGGGACGATATTTGCTGCGGCAGTGACTGCACTGGCAGGGCCTGTACTTGTCCGCCAAAGGTCTGCGGGACCTCTGCGCTGGCGCCTGGCTGAGCCGATGTAGTAATCGGAATATCAGACAGGCCACCGCCATTGCTTGCGTTGGCGTTCGCGTTGGATTTGGAAATGGTAGCTCTCGATGGCGCAACACCGGCACCCGAGAGTTGACTCGCATGTGTGCCACTGTAGACAATGTCGGCGGTATTCGCAATGCTCGCGGCGGACGGAGCGTTGGCGGGCCTGACGATGACTGGACGCCCATAGATCATGTCTGTTGAACCTATTGAGGACGTTTGATGCTGCGATTGAACAGAGGGCCGTGTCGGGATGGAAGGCAGCTGAGAGCTCAATTGCTGTACCTGCTGTGCGTGCTGCTGTGCTTGTGCGAGGGCGGCCGCCTGTGCCTGCTGGTAAGCCTCAGCTTGCGCCTGCTGTTGTGCCTGCGCCAGTACATCCGGCGCGTTCGGCAGAAGCACGCGCGGCGACGAACCTGGCGGCACGGGCACAGCGGCTGCAGCTACTGTCTGCCCTGCGAGCGCGGCTAGCAGCACCGCTGCCCATGCGGCGCAAGGAAGGCTCTTTGATAATGACACTCGTGCTGACGCTGGCATCGCGGTTGGAGAACGGTGCTTTCGTTGGCGCCGCCGTCTGCGAGCGTCTATGACAGGCTCTACCAACGCTGAGCAAGGCGCTAGCGCTGGCACCACAGCCGTTGCTGCTGCTTTTGGCGCACTCTCTATTCGCGTTTCTTGAGAAAGAGTGTGAGTGTATTCTCTCATTGTGCTGTAAAAGGACTGTGTGGAAGACGAGGGTTTTGCGTCCTGCGCGTTGTGGGACATGGTAGAATGAAGGACGTCCGGCGCCTGGAGGGTGAGTAACAGAGCGAGGGGGTTTGAGAGGGAGATATGATGGTGGGAGGGACGACCAGACCTAGCTGAAGTCGACCGAGCCTTGCGAGGGAGCACGGCTTCCTCTTGTGGTCGCAAAGGCCCCTGGGAATGAAGAAAGGGAGTGGGACAGGGTTCGGGGGATGGAGGTTACGCAGCACGGCTGTTACAAGGTGGAAAGGAAAGAAAGGATACAAGGATAGGAAGAGGAGGTAAGGCGGTTAGGAATAACAAAAGGGAGAACACGCAGGAGAGCCGAGAGCAGGATTACATTCAGTATGAGGATAGGCATTGTCAATCAATCATTGCAGCGACTCCAAGCATCCATGGAGCGGCCGGCAAAATCCAGGCTCCCATCTGAGGCCTGAAGTTCAGGTCATCTTGGCGCTTTCTGCATTGCACCCTGCTGCTGTATCAGGATAATTAAGGCAAATGAAACGCACTCTCGATATCCGCGGAGCCACCGGCTGTGAGAAGAGGTAAGACGATGCATCAACGCTGCGTCTCCCAGCCCTTCACCTCTTGCCGCTTTGGAGCAAAGGGGCTAGAGGCGAGAGGACTAGAAAGCGAGGGCAAACTATGCGTCACGCATCCTGTTTCCTTCGTTCAGATATGGACAGGCGATGCGCTACAGGTTGACGCCGGCTGCAATCCTTCTGCATCGCCACTGCAGCCGTGGACTGTGCACATCACCTGGGATGCTTGGCCATATGTCTGGGCAGTTTCATGCTGTCACGACGCAGTGACAGGCCGTCCCCCCTGGCCTGGCATGGCACAGGACACAGATAAATGCACAGAACACGATGGGGAGAACCCGTTAGAAGTTGGTCGTGCATGTGCGCGTACCTACAGTACATTTGCATGCGCTGCACCCTTTCTGCCGGCGGAGGCAGGCGACGGCTGCTGCTACGTCATGATGGCTAGGCTGCGTTCTGCGGGATGTAGACCCCATGAGATTAAATCCCCGGATCGAGAAGGCTGTAAAGAGTGCTGTGCTGTGCTGTGCTGTGCTGTGCTGTACAGTTTGCGACCGTTGGAAGCTTTGTAGGTCTCCGTTGCACAAAAGGCAACGAAGCGATTGTCGAAGTATACATGAGATATCAAAGGGACACGTAAACTAGAGATGTTGTGCTGCGATCCACTCAACACGGCCACACGTGACACATCTATTCCGCGCCCCCTCGCTATCTTGAGAGCCAAAGGCGGAATAGATGTCACGTGATTTCTTACGCAACATCCAGGAGCTGTCAGAGTCGGCCGTTCTTTCATTTCATTCCTCCATCCGTCACAGGATCAGACACTGAGCTTTCAGCGGAGTCATGGTCCGTCTTGCGTCTCGCCACAATTGACGATAGCTGTGATTCCCGAGCACAAGCGGTGAGATCCCTTTTATAAACTCCAAGGGCATTTTCATTTTTCGGCGCCATGGATCGGGCTCTTTCTGTGTCGCATCTGACGCACGCCAGACCAACGCAATCTCCAGAGGTTGGTAATGCAGAAGAATGATGCGATTGCAGTCAGCAATCGCGATCATGGATGTGCCGTTGTGAACTTGAACATGCTGCCTCTCTTCTTTTCTAAAACATACACAGGGCAACAGGGTGGCCGTCCCTGGGTTACGAGATGTGCCTGAATTGCATTGGGAATCTGCTCTACATTGGTCCGTACGTGTTTTGTCTAATAACTGTGCTCACTTGTTCTATGCATGCTCGAATCATGCCGTCTCTATCTTTTGTCTGTTGTGCCACGCTGTTCGTCCTGGACATCAACGGATGTCTCAGGACTACCATGCTCGCCACCACTCATGGACGCACAAGCGATGGCAAGACGACATCGCGGATGAAAAACGCATGCAGTCGCACATCGTTTGTCAGCTCAGGATGGAACGACGTAGCGACGAGGTTGCCCTGGCGCAACGCCACGATCTGCGTATCCACCGGCGGGCGGGGTACGCTGGCTGTCAGTACCAACTTCTCTGCTCGTGGTGAGGCGCCGTGGGAGGAAGCATCAGCGACGGGGGAATGCGCGGAAGAGACGACCGGCGCCGCCAATGCAGCGAGGATCTCCATCGGTGGGCGCCAAGACGATCCGTGATTCGATATTGACGGGGCTTCTTGACTTTTGGGACGGCATGAACGGTACGGCAAGAGCGACGGTGCGATGATGAGTGGCAGCGCTCCAGTAGTCTCTGTCGCTTTCGTCGTAGTCATTGTGCTTGAACTCTGCCCTGCTGAAGCATGGTCATTTGCGGCAGCCTCTGCTTCTGATACAGGATCTAGTAAGCAGTCAACGACCGGAGCGCGGATGAAAACCGCTGGAAATGGCTCAGGGCCGAGCGCTGGTATGTTCAGTTGGGTCTCGAACGAGTCCACCTGAAATACGACAAAAATTGTCAGACTCGCTTCCAATGAAGAAATCAATTTAATGGCTCACCTGGCTTCCGAAACCATTCCTCCCCACTCTGCAGTCCATACCGCCGATTAACTCCTGGCCGCCTCTCTTACCGCCACTGGCTTCTCTCGCGAGCATGATCATGCCGGCACACGTCCCCCACGTCGGCCGGTCATCGGCGACCCATGTCCTCAACTCGCGCAACATGCCAGCGCGCTGCACGCCCAGCGCGATCGCAGTGGATTCTCCACCGGGAATTATGAGTGCATGACAAGCGGCGAGGTCCTGTGCGTTTCGCACAAGGATCGCCGAGAAGGAAAAGGCGTTGGAAGGCGAGGAGGCGGTGGACGCTGAGGGAGAGGAAGGCAGGTCGAGCACCCGAGCTGCCTTGTGCAGAAGCGTGATGTGTTCACGAAAGGCGCCTTGCAGCGCCAGGACACCGATGACGAGTGGGTGCGAAGGGAGGTTCAGCCGAGGGGGCGAGGCGCGGCGGTTGGGCGAACGGCGCCTCGAAGGCGAAGGGGAGGGCTTGGGGGAAGAACACTGCATGATTGCGGTTGCTCGCACCGGCTTTGCTTCCCTTAGTGACAAACGCACTTCCTGCCAAAATTCTTACACTTGCCTCCCGTTGACCAATGCTTGATACCGAGCCCAGGCGTTGTCCAGGTTGTGCAGATTTTCCCGAAGTCAGGACTCCCCAGACCAAAACTCAAAATTGGGATGAGCTGGACAAGAATTCGCACAACGCTCATCTCCCGCATACCGTGGTGATTGTGCGACTGCTGTCAGATCAGCGATGCTTGCCGCAGCGATGTGTTGCACCGATTGGCTCCCACCTTCCGAGTTCCGGAACTGCCTCATGATGATGGATATGTGTAACAGGTGAAACAGCGACGAGGTTGAGCCTTGATATTTGGGACCTCATTACCTTCGTAAATCGCATACGTGCTCCTGGATTGTGTGCTGTTTACCAGAAATTGCCGCAAAACTCGCAGTGTCGTCTCGGTCGTCATAATGAATGGCCTTCGCGTAACCCGTAGCCTTTGCAACATTGTGGGAAACCAAGCTTGGTCTTGCCCCTCAGCGCTTCCAAGTGAATACGCAGCAACTGGCGGTAGGGCTGGTGGCAGCGCAAGCTTTCGCCCACGGCGCTGTCTGCACTCATATCGGAACATATATGCCGCCTCCGGCCTTCAATCTTCGGTCTCAAGAACGATGGGCCTCTACATAGGGACGTCTTGTCGTGGTTGTGCGCTAGCAGCAGCCGTTCCAGCAATGTCTCAGGTTCCAAAGCGCTACGCAAGCTCGCTATCTGGAAGCAGTGGCGGCGGCGGCTCAGAGCGATTCAAAGACAAAGCAGCGATGGGGGTGAGTCTTCAAACTTCGGATCCGTAGGCCGATCTGAGTGTTGACTGTGTATCCTGGCCTACTTCACCATACATCTCAGCCATTTTCCGTCCCCTCAGCCTTACTCTTCCTCTTGACAGGCGGCGGATTGCTCTACTACTTCCAGTCCGAGAAAAAAAAAGTCGAAGCGCGCAGGCTTGCAGAGAAAGCAAGTGCCAAAGTGGGGAGGCCGCGAATCGGTGGGCCGTTCGAGCTCGTGGCCGCCTCGATCGACCCGAAGACTGGCACACCTAGCGGCGCCAAGGTCACACACGAAGATCTGCAAGGCGCCTTCTCGCTCGTCTACTTTGGTTTTACGAACTGCCCGGATATATGCCCGGAAGAACTCGACAAGATGGGCACCGTTGTCGACGCTGTTTCAAAAGAGTTTGGACCTGTAGTGCAACCGGTCTTTGTCTCCTGCGACCCTGCTCGCGACACGCTCGCCGCGACGGCCAAGTACGTCGCCGATTTCCATCCTCTGCTTCTCGGCCTGACGGGTACGTACGATGCTGTCAAGAACGCATGCAAGGCGTACCGGGTCTACTTTTCCACTCCGCCCGGTGCAGACCCCAGTGGTGACTACCTCGTCGACCACTCGATCTTTTTCTACCTTATGGATCCTGAGGGACGCTTCGTCGAGGCGTTCGGCCGGAGCGTGGGTCCAGAAGAGACGACGGAAAAGGTCAAAGCTTTCATCAAGCAGTGGAAGGATGCAGGGAATGATATCAGAAAGGCTGATGCCAAAGTGAAAATCTTTACGGATCCCGCGAGACGCGTGGAGGCAGAGGCCAGCTGAAAGTGGGCTTGAATTCGTGGGGGCATGAACAGTGCATTTGTAAAGTAATACCACACCACAAGCATCACCCCAGAGAGTAGAAGCGAAGAATTACAAATCGTTATGCCTTTTACAGTCTGGTGACAACACTACCGATACTCCAAGACCCATGCAGATCGCGGCACCACCCCTTGCCTGTAGTAGGTCGGCAGCTCCTCTACGACCTTGAAGCCATGCTTTTCGTAAAACTTGCGCGCCTCCTCATTCGATGTCTGCACATGCAAGTAAATTGATTCGATCTCGTAATCCTTCGTTGGCACTTTTGGCGCCTCTGCTTTCTTCTTGTCGCCATCTTTGCCCTTTGGTGCAGGTTTCGGAGCCGGTGAGGGAGGTGCATCGGGATCCGGCAGGCTGACGATGGTGCCCGAGCTTGCGACAGTGAGCAGGTGAGAGATGAGGTTCGAGGCAATTCCCAGCCGCCGGTACGGCGCAAGCACGCCCAGCGTCATTACGTAGACCTTCACTTTCCCAATGCAGCCGGCAGACTCGGGTTGCGGCTCGTAGCGGCAGATGAGATTGGATACGGGAATGTCATTGAAAAGGCCTGGAAGATGAGAAAAGAATATGAGGTCGTCTGATCCATCTCCCTTTGTTCTCAAATTTCCTAGCTGTATTTCTTTGGCATGTTGGGCTCTGACTCACCAATCTTGCAAATGTTTCTCACCTCCTCCTTCAGCGCATCCTTGTAGAATCGTTCTGAATAAGTGACTGGTAGCAAAACCGCATTGAGCTTGCGCACTGTGCCGATGTTGTTCGGTGTCAAGTCTGTCCGGGCTATCCGCGTTTGTACCAGCTGCGAACGGACGGGGGCCGAGGAGGACTTGCGAACTGAGTAGGATGTGGGCGGGAGAGGATAAGAGGAAGAAGCGGTTGCGGCGGCGGCTGTGGTGACCATGTTGGGCCGTTCCCTTTATGACGCGCAGCTTATGTGCGCTCTCACGGTACAAGCTGATGCTACGGGACAGCAGGATGGTCGAGATGTGTAGCACCTGACGTGGGATGAGAGAAGCTAGAGGACAGAGTGGATGCGAGGTGATAGGTTGATGAGAAAACGCGATTTGCACATCGAAGGGAGCTTTCTGGTTTTCTCGCGACGCGATGGCGTCTCGTTCATTCGCAACAGGCGCAGTGAGGGGGAAGGGGATCTGACGACAACACCTTTATCTATAACTCGTCGTCACTCTCAACTCAAACTGCGGTTCGGATTCTGGACAGACCCAAGCACAACAGATTGCAGCTCCGGGCTCGAGATCGCGTCGGTTGAACTTCTGCAACCTGTAAATCGCCATCAAGCGCCTTCCTCAACAAAACATGGCGTCCAGCGCAGCCAGCGGCGATGCCACAAACATCCTGCCAGCCTCTGCGCCTCCCACACTGACGCAGCAGGACGACGCACTCTCGCGCCTGCCCACGGACATCTCCAGCCCGCACGAGCTGACCGACTGGCTCGATGCTGTGCTGGACCGCCTGGAGAACAAGTTCCAGAGCGCCAACCACCAATATGATGTCAGGAGTAAGTAGGGGCTTGAGGCGAGGTGGGAGCTCCTTTGTCATCGTTCGGATGTCGTGTCTCACCGCTTTGAACTCTCTTAAGTGCAAGAGATGACTGAACGCATCGATTCGCTGGAGAACTCTATTCAAGGTGAGCGCTTGGGAGCATGATGGAGTTATTTCACTGCGCCCATCATTTGACTTTTGCCTTCCCATTGGGCTTGACTTTCGTTACGCCAGCGCTCATCAATGGCGCTGTTTCTACCCCAGTCGTGGGTTCTACGCGTACAGGCTCAGTCTCGAGCAAGGCCGGCTCCGAAAACGTACATAGCCCACGCCAGGGGAACAGCGAGTGATCGATGGAGCTACGACTCAACAAGTGGCTTTCAGTGCTGCCACAAATGGCTGCTGTGGATGCTCGTGGGGAGGCATCGGAGTCGGACCCGGCCAGATGTCGCCTCTACCTTGCGCGCCTCAGTTCCTCTGTCACGAACCGCCTGCATGAAGACGGCCGCACAGCTTCCCACCATGGACGCAGGCATCTGGGTATTCCCAAGCAGCACCCCGGTACCACGCCGCATAGCGCGTTTCTACTAGTCTATTAGCGAACGAGGTGACCTTGCGACCAAGCCGAAAGACAGGCCACAAGGGCCTCTCACAACCTGTGCCCCACTTGACACAGATGGCTGGACGACCCCATCAGACATAAAGTCCACCTTAGTGACTGTCCATCTACCTTGGCGTTTGCGCTTGAAAAGACTGGGATTCTGCGCATAGTCGTACTCGCGCGTCCGGTAGGTGCATGTGCCGACTGTGCACCCCATCAGTAGCACCGTTTCAAACAAACACATTATGGCTGCATTGATGCACAACAAAATGGAGAATGGATTACAGCCTGTGCTAGGCAACACCTGCCATCCGTCATTGTGTATAAATTGTTGTTGCGCGATCCGAAGGCATTGACTTCGCAAGCTGACATCCATTCATTACCGAATATCGGCTACTGGTCGCCAAAGAATGCGACACTCGCCGCTTATGTCGGGCATGCGTTCTTGACCTTCTCCGCTTGTTGTAAGACCAAGGCAGCGCCCAGCCTCTGCATCGAGAGAACCTCGAAATCGGGCGTCTTGGATTTGAAAAAGTATTTGCGCCATGCGGTCCTTTGGATCTTGTTGTAGAGCATCTTTTGGTCCTGCTTACAGCTCAGAATAACGATCAGGATGTCCGCGTCATTCTTAACAGGGAATGGCAGGACGTGCGATGGCTTCAAGCTGGGACCTCCGCCGGTTGTGGAGTGAGCAAACTCCCTAACGTCCTCGGGCGAGAGCTGCTCGCCATGGCCACACAGGAAGATGATCTTGTCCTCGAGCCGATCCGCATAGCGAGCGCTTCTTTCTGCTTCATCGATCTGCTTGCTGAGATCGTTGATCTGATCGACAAGCATGAGGGCCTTTTCTGCAACAGCGCCGTCGTTGGTCAGTCCTGCGATGCGCGGCAGTGCGATGTCCCTCGCTCGTTTCAGCGGTACATCCCATTTAGCGGATAGCTCGGTGGGGCCACCCTTGATGTACAGATGGTCTTCGGCTAGCCAAGGAGTCTTGCTGACCATGTCGACGCTCGAGATGCATTTTCCGATAATGATCGAAAGATCCTCCAATAGTTGCATCTGTGTGTCCACTTCATCTTCCGGGACATCGAAGAGTGGCTTTGCAAGGGCGTTCAGCACCAAATCTGGACGCAGAGAGTTCGGCCTCAAGGCCAGAAGAGCAGCAAGGCCGTCTCGCGGGTGAGTAACGTGATATGCTGACTCCTTGAGTGCAGTACTGCCCTGCTCGCAGCCCTCGAGCAAGAAGCACTGCAGATACGCGCGAAAACGTCGGTGTGGCAAGAACGATCTCGACTGCTTATCAACATCTCGGAAAGTCTTTTCCGATGGCATCGACCGGTCGTATTGCGTAGAGATATGGCGGCTGATAAAGAGGAGCAGGATCGTGGCGCACATTGCCACCTTGCGGACTGACCACGAGCTAGGGCTCTTGGCGAACATTTCCTCGTACACTGCGTAGATGACGGCCGGGAATACCTTTGCGCCCGTCGGGTCCTGGGCATGCTCAGGTGCATTAATGAGCCCGGCGATGTAGAGCCCAGCCTCGGAGAACGGAAAAGCATCGAAGGAGGGCGTACTTTCTGCCTTGGAAGACACATAACCCTTGACCTGCTCACACAGGTTCTCCTTTTCAAGGAGTATGGCGCGGGACAAAATGGCACCGCCCATCGTTCTCAGCCCCATAAGATCCTCGCGTGCTCCGTTGCGTTCCATCTTTGGAGGAGGCTTACTCTTCCACTTCTCGATCTCTTCTAGCTGCCATGGCGCCTTGGCGGAATTTTGATCTGCATGTACTCCATACGCAGGAAGGTGCCGGGCAAGATTGGGAGGTTGCTCGTCATCTGCGGGCACTTCCTTCTTCGCAGCACGCAAGGGTGGTGAGCGGGCTAGTCCTACCAAGGCCAGCGGTGGAATGCCACCGACGCTGGACGGTGTGGGGGGCGGGCCCGCTCTATTGGGTGGCGTGGTACGTTGCACTTGCGGTGGCCGCTGCTTTGCGAAGGGGTTCTCCGCCTCGAAGCGTTCCCTCGTCTGCGCTATCCGGCGCTGCTCCTCCTCCTCACTCAGCGGCTTATGCGCCTTGATACAGGCTCCGCTCGACGGGCCGACGCCTTGATCTCCTTCAGAGCCTGAGGAAGACGACATGTCCTCTTCATCGCTATCAGCAACAGGGCCTCCCATGGCGAGCGGCGGCAGGCGGCCGCTGGGATAGCTTGAGTTGCGAACCGGCCAAGGAAATCCTACAGCTGTGGACGTCGCGCGCTCAGGATCCATTGATTGAACCTTCCTGGCCTTTCTAGATTGTTGCAAATCTTCTCGTGAGGCCTCATCGTCTCCAACCTCGCTGGCTCCACTAGTGCTCCCTGTGCGGCTACCATTTCTGCTCCGCTTGCTAGAACTGCGACTGTTTGCTTCTTGGAATCGGTTGATTACTGGCAGTTCCACGCCATTCTCCCTTGCTTTCTTGGTCATGATCAGCAGCCTCGTCTTCAACGCTGCGACGGACCTGCCACTCAAGAACTCATGCTCCCCAATGAGTTCCTTAAAGACACGATCATAGCTCAGATCCGGGCTCGGCTCGCTCTGAATGATCGATCTGAGCTTCTCCTGCAGCTTCTTCAGGAACATGCCAGCCTGTCGGTCATCCCAACGCTTGCCGCTAGACGCTTCCGCTGAGCTGTGCTCTACAAAGGACTTGATCCGATCTTTTCCCTGGCTTTCACGCTCAGCCTGCCGCTGACGCTGGTCACGCTCGAGCTCAGCATCCAGCGCCCGAATGCGAAGAGCCTCGCGCTGCTCAGCTACCATGCGCTCACGGTCAAGGGCCCGATCTCGCGTGCTAAACCCTTCCCTCCCATCATTCTGAGTAATTCCTGACCCTGACCCCTGAATGCGACTGGATCTCGGAGCTGCCTTCGCATCTATTGATCTCGATGTGCTGGCGCGCGGAATATTGTGAAGGGACGCTGATGGCGACGACTGATGACGACCGTACCGACTGGACTCGTCCGCGAAGCGCCCGCGTCGCGAAGCCCATTCCACAGGTGCGGTAGGCCCATCCTGGTCAAAAGAGCGCCTTGCAGACGGTGCACCCAAAGGTGCGGGAGGGGCGCGAAAACTACTGGAAGCCGGCGGCAGGCCCCTGTAGCTAGCCCTTCGCGAGCCTCTAAGCGCCGCGTTCCCGATAGCCGTATCGCTGCCAACTACGCTGGGCCAACGGTCATTAGGCGACTTATTGGAGCTCGTGCTTGATGTGTGAAACTCTGGAGATCTCTGGTTGACGTCAACTTCGCTTTTGTCTGCTCACCAAGACATTTGCGATGAGGATATATTAGCGTTTGGTCAGGTTTGCTTATCTGTCCTATCGCCTCTTCACTCACGGAGAATATCTCCCTTAGACGTCAAGACGACGAGGGTGTCTCCCGCCTGCACAAGGTCCCATTGTCCTCCGTCTACTTCCCATAGCTCCTCTCCGTCCCGGAGGTGAAGTCGAACATCGCCCTGCGAGCAGCCGATTTTGCTGACGACAAAGTCAAGCGCCGCCTGCAAGCCATGATCATCCATGTGGGGATACTTATCAGCACTCTTGAGCCAGTGTGAAGGACCCTTGCGAGACTCAGTCCTCTTGGAGCGGTCATCCAAGCGCGGCAAAGGGCCTCAGTCCATCTCTCACTCACTGCAAAGCCGTCATTGGCAGCGAGGAACTTGCCGTACTCTCCGCAATCGATCTTGAGGCGGTGAACCACCATTTTGACCCTTCAAAGGCATGCGCGAGGAAATTACTGCATCTGCAGCGCAGGAATGAGAGCAAGGCTATACATGCGGTCTCTTGTCAGGTAGTGTTTTATTGGATGTCCAGAAGCATCAGGTCTCAGATGATGCATGTCATGTAAAAGGATGAGCGAGATCGCGTGGCAAAAGTGCGTCACCGCACAAGGTGCCAATGTCTTCAGTCCGATCTGATCCCGATCGACTTCAGTCTGCAATTTGCAGTCTGTTGGGTGTGACATCCTCACAAAATGACATAATAGTTGCATGTCACAACCTTCGACCCGCATCGGATACTCTCGGTCATGCTCGACAGCATCGAGCTTTGATGCAACCAGCCTCGCTGCGAACCTAGAAGAGAGCTTGCACAGCTGTACAAGACAAAAAAAGTTTAGACAGTACGGTTCCATCTGCTCTGAACCCGGGAAGTGGCAGCGAAACCCTGGGTATCCATGGTGCGCTCTATTGTACAAAATGTAGAAAGATAGTGGGCCGAATTTTCGTGCTGAGACCCGCTGTATCATGGATCACCCTCGCAAGGTCATGTGTCCACTTGGGCCGCGCTCGTTGTAATCCAGGTGCAGGCTGTCGTAGCATCACGTTGGCATGGTCAGCGATCAGCAGTCAGCACCAATGGATGCGTCATGATTGTAACTCACTAGGCGCGTTCGACCTCGCTGAGACACTCGGTGCAGTATGTCATAATCTCTGCAACGTCGTGGGCGTCTTTCAGATTGATAGTTGATGGAAGGACAAGGTCGCTGGGGAACGCAGAAGGCCAAAAATCAGCATTCCTTTGATCACCCTTGCCTCTCTCTCCAGATGCGCCCGAGCGCCCACTCACCACTCGACGATCATATCGTCGCCAGAATGGAACATCTCAAAAGCGCTGACAGATCTTACGGCCTTGAAGCGCAGGATGAGGTAGAGCGCCCTGGCGATCTCGTGCGAGCCACAGACGGAGCCAGAGAGCTTGGTGACTGTCTCAGCGAGAGTGTGCACCCATTCCGAGATAATGTAAATCGACCTGTAGTGCCGACAATTTGCTGATTAGTCTGCACCATACGCCTTTCGAGGTCTGTTTACGCGTGAAATGTACTCACAGCGCGATACCGCCGATCGGATCCAGAGCTGGGGCTTTCAGGAAGGCGCCAAGCACGGGGAATACGAGGGAGGCGATGTTGAAGACGACATCGTTCTCAGCATCTGTGTGAGCGTGAGGAAAAAAGTGACCACCAGTCATCCATCAGAAGGCGCGCAGGATCCTGCCGTAGCGGTAGCAAACCTACCTTGCGCCACCGCTCTGACTCCGCTGGACCGGCTGGACCGATAAAGTTGCCACATCACCGCTTTGATCCCGATCGTAGCGACCATGAAGATAATGCCAACCAGCGGCAGATTCGTCGCGGCGTCCGGCAGTTCACTGCCGGTCTTGATGACTGCCCACAGCCGCTGACAGGATTCGACCAAGACTTGGCAGAAGGAGGCGATCATTAAAACAGAAAAAACGACCACGCCGAGCGGCTCAAAACGTCTGCAAGTGGAGGCCAAAGTTCGTATTAATTATCGCAAGCGATCTGTGCGCTGCCAAGAGAAGCCGCGACTCACTTCTTTCCGACCGGATACTTGCTCATAGTGTGTACTGAGCGATAAGCAATAGCCTTAGACGTGACGAACTGCTCGGCGCTACATCCATCAGCCGCTGCCTTTCGAGCTATCCCGCGCGGCTGAACATGAGAGCTACTCACAATAATCAAAGTGGACAACAGATCCAGCGCCGAGTCAACCAAGCTGGCTAGCAGAGATATTGAGTTCGACGACAAGACAGCAATTCCTTTGCCCGCAAGCAAGAGCACATTGACCACAAGGTTGACTTTTCCCCGCGAAGCAAGAACCTCCAGTCAGATGAGGTCCTTCATATTATGCACGTAGATAAGCGTGCCACACGAGACTCACTATTGATCGCAAATTGCACGGAGCGCTCCGCCTCGCTCTCCTTCTCTGCAAGTCCTGGTACTGATGCCAACAGCCGCTTGCGGTCACGCTCTCGGTTCCCGTCAGTCGCGCGCGTGCGTGACTGGCCCCTCGCGGCCTTCTTTGTATTTGCATCCTCAGGTTGACCAGAAGCGGCAGCAGATGCAGAGTTGTGACCGTCACTCCCATTGCGGCCAACGTCGTCGGTACCGTTCGATACCTTCGGGTCAGAGATCCCGCTTCGCGAGTCGCTCATATCACGGATGAGTTTCTCGTTCTCGCTTCTCCGAGTGATCGCGGTCTCTTCTTTGAACCGGCGATCCAGGCTGCCTTCCTCGGAGCTGCTAGCCTTGCTGAACATGGTGCCCAGCCGGGGTTCGTCGGTGATCACCAAGTGGCCGTTGGCATAGTGTGCGTTGGCGTTGCTGTCTTGGCCACTTGGAACTCCAGAGGCTGCATCATCCGAACATACGCCTTTGGAGGGATCCTCAAGGATGCTTCCATACCTTGACCAGTGCTCCGGCACATTCGAAAGGGTGTTGGCTTGTCCCCTGCCAAGTCTGCTCAGTTGACGTTCGCGCTGGGCTTCGAGATCGGACGGGTTGCTTTGCGAGCTGGAGAGGAGCGGATCGCATTCTGGAGATTCTTGCACGCCAGGGGCTTTGCCCTTGCCGAACCAGAGACCAGAGAGCGCGCTAGCTGCTCGGGCAAAGCCGTGCCGCGAGCCGCCGGGCTGCGGGCTCTCGAGCTCCTGATCCGACCCGTCGTCCTCCTGAAAGCCGTCGTCACTGTCGTCACTGTTCGACTCGTCGCTCTTGTGCAGAAGACGATGAATCCGATTGGTGGTGCTTCTGTCCGCACTCGAGCTGCGTCTCTGAAGCTTGCGAGCCTTTCGACTGGCGTTCATCTCTGCAATCTCTGCCTCCGTGCCGAAGCGCATCATGACTTCGTACGGGAAATGACTGCCAAGGACAAGGTCTACCTCCTTCCAGCCGTCGAGAATGCTGTTCTGACGCTCATAGTATGCCACAAGCCGAGAACCATTCTTCATGCGTCCAATCGCTTTAAGCTCCTCCTCGTCCTTGCGCGCATGCTCCCACTTGCCCGCTTCGCCCTCGAGCAGCTTCTCCAGAGCTGCGACGTCGCGTAGAGATTCGGCATGTGAGGGGAATGGGTGGGAGATCGACGAGCGTAGCGGCGCGGCTCCACCAGTGTAGCTGCCGCGCTTGCTAAGGCCGTAGGAGAGGGGGCTGTGGAGCGGATCCAGGTAGAGTTGCTGCAAATGCGAATAGGAGCGGTTTGCCGACGAGGTGTACTTGTCCAACGACGAGCGACCGCCCGGCGGCGTCGAGGGCCGCGCCGGGTGGTTGGCGTACGACATGCTGCGCGCAACCTCTCAGCTCATTCTTGCAGAGAACCAGTAGATATACTTGACCGCGAATCCGAGCCTTGGATCAGGGAGCGTATGAAAGATCATGACGGTGGATAGAGCATGAGTTCATGACGTACGGTGTCCCACGCATCGTCTCATCGTCATCGCTTGGTGTAACTTCATGCATGAAGCGTTTACGGATGACGAAGCCAACCCTAATTGGTTGACAACAGAAAGACTGAAGATCTCAGGTGAAAGAACACCACTGATGCTTCCAGTCTTTCCAGCTAGTGAACAGTACGATCATGCCCTTGTGGGGGATTGATGCGCTTGCTCTCTGAGAATGAGAATTGAATGGCTATCATACATGGCGAATGCTCGTATCAATTATGTGACCCCATGCCAATGCGAGTGCGGTTTAAGAAGGGTGCATTATATGGCTTGTGTATTTTCGAGAGTTGCGATTGCGATTCTGATTAGTCAAGGTATCGTATCGATCATGCTGGACTCGCATATGCGTTGGAGCCGGAATTGCTTTGAAAAAGATGGAGAGATTGCAATGAAATGTGGGAGGTAGCTTGGAGGATGTCGCTAGAGCGCTACTGAAAGAGTGCTCCGCATCCTGTGACGGCGTTCGCAGGCTCGTCAGGTCTGGGCGTAAGCCGATACGGCTCCAAGAGCGGCATAGAAGATTCTGGCGCGAGGAACGGGTGCGCCGGCAAGCCTTGGTCTGTTGCGAGCGCGGTGATCCGGCTCTCGATGCTCTGAGAAGAGAGCTCGCTGCGCGCGAAGCCTGCACGCGCCGGCGAGCGAGGTGTAGGCGCGACGACACGCAGAGGCGTGGCAACGACGGTGACACCGGGCAAGGCATCAGACGTCGCTTCAGCCGCCTTGACAATGGTGGAAACAAGCCCTGGGGGGATGGGTACCTCGGTGTTTCCAAGCTTGTTGAGCACACGTGGAACGCTTGTCGACGTCGCAATGTGCCGGAACTTGGACTTAGGCGGTCGCGGTGGCTTCTCGAGCGGTTTGCGAAGCACATACGGCTCGTGCTGGATGTTGCCGCTGCGAATGGCCGCTTTGGCTTCCGAGCTGCTGAACTCGCGAGTGCCCGCTGAAAAGTAAGACGGTAGGCCGATGGGTGCGGCACACCAAGAGACGGGCCTTCGTTCCTTCCTTGCTGCCTTGCTTCCTTCCACGTGACTAGCATTTTGAGTCTGAATCATGCAAAAAACAGTACCGGGCGTCGTCACCTGCTGCTTGTTCTCGTTCTTCGTTGCTGCTTGCTGCTTGAGGGACTGAACGCCCGAGATGGTACTTCGCTTTCGCAGCTGATGTTCACGCTTGGACACAAGGTCACGCCACTCGGCATCAATGTCTCCAGGGGTGTAAGGCACGACTCGATCGAAGGGCAAGAGACCGTTCGGCAGGTCAAAAGTGCTGGGACTGCGGCTCATCGACTCGTCTGAGCGTGGCTTGAGGACGCGCGGAGCGCAGGGAGGCATCTCTGGCGTAGACGGTAGCTTCGACCACATGTCCCCCTCGATGTCGCTCATCTGCCTGGCACGAGGCGTGGCGCCAGTGTCGTTGGCGACATGCTGGCATGAGACCTGGAATGAGCCTCGCATGGGCGAAGGCGGGAGTGGAGGAGTGGGCGCCATGTCACGTGCCAGCGCTAGCTCGAACGGGTTGATAGATGCGAAGGCCACATCTGGGCGAGGGGTACCTGCACCTTCCGAGACGATCTCGCTCAGCGCCGAAGGAGACGGAAGGCCGTTGTGCAGGCGGGAAGTGTTGCGAGCAGCTTCCGCGAGAAAGGATTGTCGGTAGAAGCTTGAGGGCAGAGGCAGCCTCCGATCGAGGCCGACAGCGGTCTGCACGCTGCTTGCCACCGAATGGCCGCCCTCTGTATCGCAGCGCTCCATAGTAGGACCACGAGCGAGAGTGGTTTGAAGACTACTCGCATCGGAGTGCCCACCCATGCTTGCACAGCGGTCAAGACGGAGAGACGCGAGCGACGCGGCGTACTTTTCGAGCGCATTGATCGTCAGTGGCTGCGTTCCGGGGCTGCTCATACGACTGCGGAGAACGCGGCAAGGAAAATATCAGCGCATGCTACCTTTCACAATTGATCGTGGAAGCACTGACCTGTTTCCTTCAAGGTCAGAGAAAGCCGACAGGCTCAGGTTGTTGCCTTTGAACTTGTCCTGGAAATTTGCCCCCGACGGCGTGTGGGGCTCCGCCTCGGCTGTCTTGCATGCTCGAGGGCTGCGAAGGGTGGGCGGGGTAATCCCAGCTTCATGCTTGTCATTGCTGCTGCTTCTGCTGCAAGTACCACTGTTGCTGTTGCGCCTGATCCCAGCGCTCGCCTCGTCCATCGCACTTAACGGATAATCGAAGATAAGCACCTCGTTTCGCGCCTCCGTCCCGTTTCCATTGCAGCTTGCAACATCGCCACCGGTCGCATTGCGCGATGCATGGTGATCGCAACTTGGACTGGGTTTAATACTGCGAACCTCGGCGACGAGCTGGCTGCCACGACGCGAGGGCAGCGCCGGGCTGATGTCTGAGCATGCTACATCGTTGAGGAATGGTGCGCATGTTAGTGACGATGATAATGATGAGGCGTCTGCTCCGAGGAGACCAGCAGATACAAAGGCAGATGGAGCGGCCAGAGCGCTGACCGGAGGATGAACTCTGCCGCCACCGCCGGCAGCGGCTGAAGCGTGCATGGGTAGAATCTCGACAGCGCGCGACGCGATGACGGAGCTAGAGAGATGATGGACGGGTGTGGCAGTCGTGATCCTGGGGAGAAGCTGCGCTTCCGTTGATGCGGTGTAGGTGGCTTGCAAAGCAGTCACGCTGTCCATCATCTCGTTTGTATGAGCCGTCGGCACTGTCGCTGGCGAAAGAGCGAGGTATGACGGCGGCCTTCGACCGCCAGGCTTGTTGCGACCCACCGGGGAAGTGACGCTATTGTTTCTCGAGACGCTGCCCGGCGTCTTCGCCTCGTAAATATCTTCGCCCTCGCCGTATATACACGCTTCCTCGTCGTCCACAGGGCTAGGGTTGTTTGTGGCTGCAACGGACACAGATAGCGGCATTGGGGCTGCCGAGGTCGTTGTCGCGGTGGTGGTGACAACGGTATTGGAAGCGTCATGCAGCGATGCAAATGTCGACGCGAGCGGCAGCAGGGCGTCCTTACGCACCGAGCTGGACAACAAGAATGCCGGCTCGAGGCTGTGGCGCATCAGGCGATGCGTAGCACCGTGGTTCGCTGCGCTGTGTACAATTCTGGAGCTGGAGCTGCTGCTATTGGGAGATGGATCGCTGGACGTGCGTTGGATCGGTGCGTATATAGGTGGCATCGGCTCGGAGACGTGGACCTCGGTGACCTTTAGAGGTGGTTCGTCGGTCAAGCCGACCTCTGCTGTGAGAAAGGCACATTGATGGCTGTCGCCGTCACTGCTGCTCCCGCTGTCCTTGTCGCTTCCGATCGGACACTGGCCTGCGTTCCTGCCGTAGGCGAGCGTAGCGAGCGCATCGACAGCCGCACACGACGCCGGGCCAAATGGTACTTTGAGCTTGCGCTCATCAGCTGCGCCATAGCTTGGATCGTGGTCCACCGTCGGCGGCAGGTTGAAGCACATATTCTTTGGGCTGGCATCGGACGTCGAGATCGATGCATAGCTCCCGTTTCCCGAGATAGAGGAGCCAAAGGAGCTGTGGCTGCAGCGGCTGCTCTCGGAGCCTTCCATGGTGACGCCACCCCCGCCGACTTGCAGCTCCTCGAAACCGAGACCATCCTTCGGAGAAGCTGCAGCAACATTATCACTGTTGCTAATGCTCGTGCAGCTGCTGCTGGTCGTGGCCGAGCTTCCACTCGAATGTTCCGCGCTGTTTCCCCAAGCTCCAAAGCGACTGTCCCAGTGCAGCGAGATAGGCCTCCCCTTGCGGCCTCGGCCGATGTTAAGCGGCATGCACTCCGCCAGCGCAAAAGCCGGTGCTGATGGCGGCTCGGTATCAACAGAAAACAGCCCGCGAGGAGGTACGGAGCCGCGGTTGGACTCGGTGCCAGGCGGGCTTATAAGTGTATCAATGGTGGTGTCCGCCAGCGCATCGGAAGTACCAGCAGGGGCGGCGACAGCGGGGTCGAACGTGTTGACAAGATTGAACGTGACCATGGCGCCTGGATCCCCAACTGCCACAGTGCTGGTGGCAGCTCCGCCTGCAGCTGCCAGATGGCAGCCCGACGAGCCGAGGGCGATTTCCTTGAGCGCATCGCTGAACGTAATGTTGCCGCTGGACAAAACCGTCTCGACGTCGGCAGGCGTGACGGTGGCAGGCGGAGCGGGTAGCAGACTGTCAAAGGTGCCATTCGCGCTCGTTCTGCTGCTCGCGCCGGTGCTGGCGCCTGTACCGACGGAGCTGCCCAATGTGCCCCCCTTCATTGCACCTACTCCAGTGACAGTGCCTGGCTCGGCAGAAAGGGGCGGCGAGACGAGGTTGATGTGGGGCCCAGAGCGCAGCCGTTCCGTCAAGGCAGTAAGGGTGGAGCTACCCCTGCCAGTGCCTCTGCCACCGCCTGTCTGTGGTGTGGTACTGGCGCCAGCGTGCGGGCCGTACGATCTGCCGCGCGGCGTGCCATAGACATTGTGTACGCCGCGCAAGGCGGCGCCGTTGCAGATGCTGTACGCGCGACGGATGGATGCCTTCGGCACCGATGCGCCGCGTGTATATGTAGCCATATTGTCCTGCATCAACGTGGTGTGTTCTTGCTCCCTGGTCGGTTCGTCGCAGCAGGCAGCGGCTGGCCCCGTCTTCAAAGACGTCCTTTTCTTCATCGAGGCAGCAACAGCAGCGTTCGCCACAGCAACGGCGGCAGCGGCCGCCCTAGCAGCGACGGATGGTGTGCTGGTCGCCTGTAAGTGACCGGGACCTTGCAGCGGCGCACCTGCGGCGCTTGTGGTAAAGTCCTGAGCGACCGCTGCCACAGAGTAGGCCGGCTGGGCGCTGATATTAGCGCCGGGTGGGGCCAGAGGCTCGGCGACCACATGTGCGGTTGCCATTGTCGAGGGAGGGTAGGCTCTGCAATGCCGTGCGGTGCAGTGAGGTTGAAGGTGCAGGCCGAGACGGGAATGTGCTGCCAGTTGGATAGGTAGGCGAAGGGGTCGACGTGGTCGGGGCGAGCGCCAGGCTGTATCTTGCGCCTTTTAGTGTTGATGACCAGAGGATCTGTGGGGATGCCTTGACGTCCAGCGTCAATATGAGCTCACCAGATTACGGTGACCTCGAGTGAAAGGGGATGAAGATGTGTGTAAGACTTGAAGACAATGATGGGGTCCTGATGATGAGGTGGTAAAGGCTCAATGAGAGAAGGATGAACTGGAGATTTGTTGAGCTGCCAGCAGTGATCTTCGCACGTCTGCTCTCATCAAGGTGCGCATGGACAATCTCTCTCGCGCGGATAAGCAGCAGAGGCGTCTTGTCAGCCGTCGAGACTCGAGATCTTGCCAATTGCCAAGGCGAGATGGGGACGTTGCTGGCGGAGCGCATGCCGGGTGGCGCAAGAGCAAGCGAGGCAGGGATAAATACACAGTAAACCAATGACGACCAAGCATGAGCGAGGGACACACAAGGAGACAACAAGCCAGTCGGTCAGTTAGTTAGTCAGGCAGTCGGCAAAAAGACATCGGCTGGTTGGTCAAAGCCCCTTGTCCGTTTGCCTCTTCGTCCACGAAACATGCCACGTACATATCGACGACCAGCAGACCAACAACCGACTCAACTCACATAGGCTAGGACTGTGGAAAGGTAGCCAGGGTTCGCCTGGTCGTCCATCGACTGCTGCTGTCTCAGTCTGCCTGTTGTCCACATGCGATACGCAGGACCGCAGGTGCACCACCAATTTCTCTGGTGCTCTCTGTCAACCAGCCGGCTGAGGGAGGGGTTTGGAGTGTCGGAGGTGCTCGTTGGTCAACAAGCAATACAAGCTCTGTGCAGACGAGATGCAGGCAGACTGGAAGCAAAACGCGGTCTGTGATCGCAAGCAGCCGGCCTTCAACTATGATCTGTGCAGATAGCTTACAGCAATACTCCTCCCTCTCTTCTCCTCCCCCCTGCCAAAAACCTCTTCGCTGCGATCTGCGAGGAGCCGCCCTGGATGCAGACCAGCCGCCCAGGGTCCAAGATGGAGATCGCGGGGATGGTGGTTGGTGTTGATAATCTCAATTTCAATTCCAGCTAGCCTGAGTCCAGCTGTTCAAGCGGGTGTCCCCATGTGCAGGATAGATATTAGGTGAGCTAAAATGGCGGCAAGATGACTGCGTTGGTGCGCACGGTCCAGCCCCGCTCGCTAGCGTCTCTCAGTACTTTCTTTTTCAATCGCCTTTCTTTCTTTTCTCTGCCTATCCCTTCGCCAGTCGACTGCATTGTGATCATGTGCTCTTGCGGGCCGCTGGGAGCGGCCCTGCTTGATATTGGGTGTTTGAGCAGGGGGTTGGCTCGGGCTCGGGCCTGGTTGCGCGTGAGCTCTCTGAAGACCTGTTGCAGCGCCTTGGAACTTGGAAATGTTAATTGGTCGGGACGGACAGTTGCAGCATCGATGGAGACGGAACACGCGCAACAAGGCATCCCAAGCACCAGCCAAGGGTCTAGTTATTCAGCAGCAGGCCGCAGGTGCATACTCAATTTGCCAAGCTGCGCGGGATTCAAGCATATGCATGCAAATCAGCAACGTGGCATTGGATGAGAATGGAAGGATGTCACTCTAGCCACGGCAGAGCTCGGCCAAAGCGAAGGTCGGAGAAGAGGACCAGGCGCCAGTGAGAGGCGAGGCCCCGCTTCGTGGAGACTTAGAATATTCAGCGCAGAGTGCTCGAAATGCGTACTTTATGTAATAAACACGGTGGCGCACGACTACATGAAAATCATTCAAAAAAACCTGTCGATTGTCTGCTAAGCTTCGGCCCTCATGGAGAAATGGACCCAGGGGTGCCATCGTTTGGCTGTCTGCATCTGACGCACGCTGTACGGTTCCAGTTCATTCCTGCATTCCTGACTCTGTCTATGAATGATGTCTGCCTCCTTTGGGGCGCAAACCCAATTGCAAAGGAGGCAGGCGATGTGCTTTTACAATGGATTTATGTAGGAGAACTAGACGCGATATCAGTAAGCTCTGAGCTGCTTTGACAGGCTCTGCCAGGTGCTCTGAAACCCAATTCCTCAAGCTGAAGACCGTACGCCTCGGTCTGACTCGGTACGCGAGGCTAATAACAACGCTGCAGCAGGCTGCAGTACAGCTTCCCCCTGATTCGAGGATTTCACCGTACAGTCATGATGACGTAGCACCTGGTTGCCAGACGCCGGTGTCAGGATTTTAGGTGTGCGGTCTGCCGTGTGCCATGCTGTGGACGAAACTGGAAGCAGAGTTTGCAGGATGGGGCGATGCGCTTCGATCGCGATCGAGGGATGGAATGGTGAATGAAAGGGCGTCGTTTGGTTGAGAGATCCATCCGATCGATCACAAGATATTTCGGATCCGCGAGTTGTAGTTCGCTGCGAACCGTGTGGTCGCATGGCAGTGTCAGGCTCTAAATTATAGAGTTCATCCGCGGCGGAAAGGAGAGCGGAGATGAACCAAAGGAAGCTGGACATTCAAACGATTTGAAAGTGGTATGCAAGGGTGGCCTGCACTCTGGCGGAGAGTCGCAAACTCGCAACAAAAACAAAATGCAAGGCAACAGCCACTGTGACGCAATTGACGCACACATTGACGGCAGCATTCAAACCGGCGCGCTGCGCACGACTCGCCTCCCCACCAGTGTCAAACGCACACTGTACTACGAGTATGTACAAGCATATACGCGTGTCCCATCCAAATAGAGACTTTGGTGTTTGCCAAAAAGCATTTGCCGGCGCCATGCCTGGCCGGTGGACTTCGAGCATCTGCCTGAGAAAGTGCCGGCAAGAGTGCGAAACGACCTGCGAAAAGTCCTGAGGAAGGCCGAAAAGGGAAGATATTGGGGTGAGGGTCTTTGAGCGTTCGAGACTGTGTGAGGGCAAGCATTGGCAGTGCAGGGGCAAGCAGGGTAGAGAGCATCGTTTGATGCATCGCTGCTTGGAGCCGCCTAGGACAGCATCATGAAGTCTTGAGGGCTTGGGAGTTCGGGACGCTGGCAATTCTCACAGTCTGTGTATGAAGTGTCTTCGCTTGGTAAAGACTCAAAGAAGAGAGGTCGAATGATGGTGGCGATGAGAATATGTGCTGCACGGTGGATTGTAATTATATCCATATATCGATCGCGTGTCTTGCTCACTTTGGAGGCGGACACATCGGACCCTCTAGAATCTGGGTACTGAACCTTCTTCTCGGCCCTTTGTTGCCCAGCCATTAGCAGATGGGCTAGACATAGACCCAATTATATACCCATACCTCATGTCCATGAATCCTCTGACCCTCTGACGCCAAATATCTGCGCTAGCGGATGCATCATTGGTTTGCGACCTTCCCTTTCGTCGGGAGACATACATAGCGCTCCGAAGAGGGGGCTAGAAAAGCTGTGTCTAGCGCAAGTGGAAGAAAATTTGCACCCCTTGCGACTGTGCGTTCGTTCCGTTCACCGACAGAACCCTTTGTCGTTCTATACGAAGACAAGCCACCCAGTGGGCGAGGTATCTCACCCAGTATAAAGGAGTGCTTTTTGCAGCTTTGCCTCGTACAGTAGCCTGCGGCCCCCTGGAGGCTTTCTACACCTTCGTTCCCTCTTCATGTTGGTCCTCCCGTCTTTTGTGCTTCTCTCGAAATGCTCAACGGTGGCGGATATTCAAGTAACAGTTGCAAATCGTGCGCAACGAGCTTGTCAAGGAGCAGGGTGGAGAAGCTCAACTGGCAACCGTAGACACTTTAGAAGAACCTGAGCATCCAATCAATCGAACCTCAGTGTCGACCCCTCGCTGTTCGCGCCCCGGCTGCTCGATAACACAGCCCAAGCTTCCGGGGCTTCAAACAGTATCCAAAGAGAACCGTTGAAAAAATGACGCCAGCAGTCTCCCTGTGCGCAGCTTGGGGAATGGATCGCGGCAAAAAATCAATTTGAGGGCATTCTCCTCTCGCACCCATTCGAAGCAAGCCCATGCAGGATGTTCGTGGACAGATGCTCGAGCGGGTTTTGTCAACGGCGCAGATTTCCCGCGCGGCGCAATCATGACATATCCGCCACGCCTGCATCGAATGGCCGACAACGGGTCAGCTCATTCCTCGCGAGTATGCTTTCCAGAATGCTTCGCGGGCGACTTACAGCGGATGCACTCTCCCTGGTGCATGTAGTCGAAGCCCTCGTTGAGCTTGTCGAGCGTGGTGCTGTGAGTGATATACTCATCCAGCTTGAATTCTCCCTTGAGGTACTTATCCACCATGCCGGGCAGCTCACTACGGCCCTTCACGCCGCCGAACGCTGACCCCTGCCACTTGCGCCCAGTCACCAGCTGGAACGGCCGTGTAGAGATCTCCTGCCCGGCTGCCGCAACGCCGATGATCGTAGAGACACCCCAGCCTTTGTGGCACGATTCGAGTGCCGCACGCATGACGTTGACGTTGCCTGTTGCAGATGTAATAGGTGGATGCGTCAGCGCGACAAACATCATACATGGCGCAAGATCCCACAGTGTACACACCAGTGCAGTCAAATGTGTAGTCCAGACCGCCATCGGTGATCTCGATGAGGTGGTCAACGATGCTCTTTCCTTCCGGCAACTTGGCGCTGTTGACAAATTCAGTCGCGCCAAACTTTTTCGCCCAAGTCTCCTTGCCGTCATTGATATCGACCGCGATGACACGCCCAGCCTTGTTGAACAACGCACCCTCGATGACACCGAGCCCGACACAGCCGATCCCGAAGACAGCGACGTTGGATCCTTGCTCGATTTTCGCCGTCTTGGTCGCTGCTCCAAAGCCAGTCGTGACGCCGCATCCGAGCAGGCAGCACTTGTCCAGCGGCGCTTTGCGCTCGATGGCCACAAGAGAGTACTGCGAGACGACAGTGTACTGCGAGAAGGTGGACGTGCCCATGAAGTGAAACAGCTCCTTGCCTTTGCATGTGAAGCGCTTGGTGCCATCCGGCATCACACCTTTCCCTTGCGTAGCGCGCACCGCACCGCAGAGGTTCGTCTTACCGCTCTTGCAGAACTTGCACTCGCGGCACTCGGCTGTGTAGAGCAAGATGACATGGTCGCCCGCCTTGACACTGTCGACTCCCTCTCCTACAGACTCGACCACGCCGGAACCCTCGTGTCCGAGAATGGCCGGAAAGGCGCCTTCTGGGTCTGAGCCGGACAGTGTGTATGCATCCTGAAGTGAGAAGTGGAGAGAAGAAATGGCCATCTCAGCAAGGTTGGGCCTAGGCACGTCACTCGCCCCGCTTGGGATTGCATATGTTCGAGGCTCAACCACGATTAAGAAGAGCTTGCGGGCAGATCGCATTCTCACGAGAGCCGCTCTTTCACCATGACCATGTGCAGAAACTCACTGTGTGGCATAACCCGGTGTACTTGATCTGCACTCTGACCTCCCCTTTCTGCGGGGGCGCAACCTCGACCGTTTCGATTACGAGAGGCTTGCCTGCCTCCCAGGCCACAGCTGCCTTGCAGGTGATGGTCTTTCCTTCGTGCTGCGACATTTTCTGGTGTGATGCGGGTGTGTTGCGATTGGATCAGCGTGCCAGTGCTAACTATGAAAGATGAAAGCTGTCCACTCGTTAAACTTTCTAAGGATTGCAGGAGGCAGCGCATATATGAGGTAAGGGAAAGAAGATCGCTTTTGTGTTGGCGTGGATGATGTCGTGCGTGAGCGGGAGTGCGATCGGTGAGTGACGCACAGACAGCACCAGGTCATCGAAGAAACACTGCTCTCGTGCCTTCACAAAGCAGCAGGACAGCGGATATGAAGGCAGCCGCCTTTACGTTGCTCTCGGCCGGCTGGAGTTTGAGTCTGTCGGTCGATTGAAACTGCCTGCAGGCCTACAGCCAGGCGATCTTTCACTCCACAACTCGGGCCCCTCTCAGCAGTCGATGGGAATCCATGAGCTGTTGTGATCACACATCCATAGCCACCACAGTCACTGGCCTGCGCTGGTCTTACCGTTCTCACCGGTCTGGCGACAAAGTAGTTACTGACCTCGACTTTGTGAGCGCCAACAATTTCTTGATGGCTTATCATGGAGGGCCAAGTTTGGTATTTCTGCCGACCACCGCCACGCGCTCACCGCTTATCTTGGCCGCCGCCGATCTCGCTCTGCTCGTGGTGGGCGTCAGCCACCGACGAGTGTACACAGGAAGGTGCTGGCAATTTTGATCGAGCCTCCCTTTAGTCCAAGCAAGTGTGAATTTTTGCAGCGGCGACAGCACATAAAAGCAGATCAACCGCCGACGTTGGCCGTCAACAACTACGGCTTGTTCTCATTCTCTTCCATATCATATTCTCTGGAAATGAGGCCCTCGAATCCTAGGTCGAACGCCTCCCCCTCACCGCGTCCAACAATCCATACTCGTTTAGGATCGTGCAGGGGACGAAATCAATTGTCTTGATAAGGATGTTAAGACGTGATGTTCATACCATGCACGCAGACTCTCGTTACCTCCGAGTGCCGCGGGTAGAACTTCATTCCGGCACCTCAATCTCGACGTCCTTCGCCGTCTCCCCTGATGGCGCCGTTCATTCCCTCAAGTCAAACTTCCTCAGCTTGGGAGATGGGGCTTTTGATGGAGAGATGGCTGACCTGGTCGAGACACTGGCCCCATGAAATGATCTGCTTGTCAATAGTCGGCCAATAGAACGCTCGAATAGCATCACTGTACTCTTCCTGCACTGCAGCAATCCTCGCATCGCAGAGTGGGCTTTAGGCCAGACGTATGATTGCAGAAATTGAGATTAAATGATTGCGATGAACAATGCATTACTTTCAAGCGCCTAGTCTATGCCGCTTGTTTGGCCCATGCCGCCTTCTCTGCACACGACGAGCATGTTACATTGAACGAAAACGGGGTTTCTTCAATCGTTCGTGCATCAGACTTTCGATGCATCCCAGTCAGCACATGCGCCAAAGGAGTCCAACATAGCATGTAGAAGCGCAACAATCTGCTTCCGGCTCCGGTAGTCATGAATGCGTCTTCGCCTTTAGAAGTACAGTGACGAGGTGAAAGACAGCCGCAAGGCGTGCCCGGCGTCATTTTGAAGTGTGAGCGACGAAGAATCGCAAGAGCCATCGAAATCTCTGTGCCGCTAGAGCGGGGCGCGCCCCACAGGGGGTCCTCCATCTTGACCGTTTCAGATCTGGATGCGGCTATACCGCCGATGCACTCCGAGCTGGCAGGTGCAAAATACAACGAAGGCGAGGTAGATAAGAGCGACGGTGTAGCATGTCGACCCTACTGCTTGGCCATCCTTCGGGCCCCTTGTTGAGCCCATGAATGCTGTCAGGGGGCGAATCGGTGGAAAGGAGAGGAAGATAGGAGCGAGTGCGAATCAATCATGTAAGTTTCAAGCTTATCTGTGAAGTATAATCATGCTGCTGTTCACCTTCCCAGTTATGCGAAAAGCCATCTGCACACAGCGAGAAGGAGAGCGTCACAATGTAATCAGTCAGCACCCCACAGTCCAGCAGGGGGCTTGGCGATTCGAGGCTAAACCAGCGCCTCCTATCGACTCACATCCGATGACAGTCAGACACACGACGCCGAATACCGAGACAATCGTGCAGCAGCCAGCCAGGCCGGAGTGCACTAATGGCCGCATCGCCATCGTTGGCGAGAGAGTCGAGCGTGATTGAGTCCGACCGGTGAGGAAGCCGGCTGAAAGGGAGGCGCAAGAGACGGCGAAAAGAGCCACAGGGGTTAGCAGTGCGCTGATTTGAAAGGGCACGCCTGTGTTGCAATTGGGATGCTCAACCAGCACGAATGATGGGCCTGATTGTCTCCAGCACAGGTCACTAGAAGCCCCTTTGCGATTCGAGCTGAAACACGTATTGGCTGCAGCCACATGTGGGTGAAGGCCCGCAGGAGACTACAGGCTGGTGGCTGTCACATACAGCAGGGCCTCTAAGCATTCAAGTTTGGTTCCGCGTTCCGTCTGCTCTCGTTCCGTCCCGCGTTCAGGCCACGTCAAGCGGTGCCTGCTGGAGAGACTGGATGAAGGGGGGTCGAAATCGAGGTCCATCGCCCGGTCAAGCATCTCACCTCGCTCACATACATATCCATTATCTTTCGATCTACTGTGGCAAGAGCGAGAGACGATCGTCAAAGCAGTCGTCGATCATTTTCAAATCTCGAACTCGATTCGCAGAACTGGATTCGGTTGAGCTGAATTTATTCGGAACGCTTATCGAAGATCTGCCGAACGCCACATTTGCCAGCTTTCAAGATGAGCGAGATGAAGGTCGACCACGACGCCAACCAGATCGATGAGGGTTTGTACAGCAGGCAATTGTATGTCCTTGGACACGATGCCATGAAGCGCATGGCAGTAAGCAACGTCCTCATCGTCGGACTCAAAGGCTTGGGCGCTGAGATCGGTGAGTTTCTCCCAGCGTGACGGCGCAGCTCAATTGCAGATGCGCACGAAGCACGCGTAGCAAAGCAGAGTTGACTTAGAATAATCTTGGATTGCATACCTGCAGCCAAGAACGTTGCGCTTGCGGGTGTCAAGTCTGTAACCCTGTACGACCCAGCCAAGGTGGAGATCCAAGACCTTTCTTCGCAGTTCTTCTTGCGGCCTTCTGACATCCGAAGCGGACACACTCGAGCGGAGGCGACTGCGCCGCGGTTAGCAGAACTCAATTCTTACGTACCAGTCAAGGTGCTGGAGGAGAAGGAGCTGACGAAGGAGGTGCTTTCACGCTACCAGGTGCGTGCACGTCGTGGCCAGGCTGCATGGAGCCGAATGGTGCTGAAGCCCTTTGCATCGATTGTGACAGGCTGTTGTCCTCACCGATCAGCCGCTTTCGCGCCAGCTTGCGATCAACGACATTACGCACTCTTCGAGGACCCACTTTGTCGCAGCAGACGTGCGCGGTCTCTTTGGCAGCGTTTTCTGCGACTTTGGCGAAAAGTTCCCCTGCATCGACCCGACTGGCGAGCAGCCTCTGAACGGCATGGTCACTTCGATCGACAAGAGCGCCGATGGGCTCGTCACGACGCTCGACGAGACGAGGCATGGGCTGGAAGACGGAGACTACGTGACGTTCAGCGAGGTGCAAGGGCTGGAAGAGCTGAATGGGTGCAAGCCCCGAAAGGTTACCATCAAGGGCCCCTACACATTCACGATCGGCGACACGACCGGCCTTCAAGGGGAATATAAGCGTGGAGGTACCTTTACACAGGTCAAGATGCCGAAAGTGATCGACTTTAAGAGCCTCAAGGAAAGTCTCAAAGCACCAGAGCACCTTATCTCAGACTTTGCCAAATTCGACCGCCCGCCCACGCTGCACGCTGGCTGGCAAGCCCTTTCTGCATTCTGGGACAGGGAAGGGCGATTACCAGAGCCAAGGAGCGAGTCAGACGCCCGGATTGTGCTTGCTCTCGCCAAAGAGATATTCAAGGCCGCCGGCACCGAGGGTGAACTGCAGGAGAACGTGGTACTCGAGCTGGCAAAGCAGGCGCGAGGAGACCTGTCGCCGATGGTCGCATTTGTCGGTGGCTTTGTAGGACAAGAGGTGCTCAAGGCATGCAGCGGTAAGTTCCACCCACTGCTCCAGCACATGTACGTCGACTCTCTAGAGTCGCTGCCTGCGGACACGAACAAGCTGCCCGAGTCGGACTTTGCGCCTCTCGGCACGCGCTATGACGCGCAGATCGCTGTCTTTGGCAAGGGCTTCCAGGAGAAGATCGGCAACGCACGACAGTTTCTCGTCGGTGCCGGTGCGATCGGCTGCGAGATGCTAAAAAACTGGGCAATGATGGGCCTGGCGACCGGGCCGCAAGGCGCCATCCATGTCACCGACATGGACACGATCGAGAAGAGCAATCTCAATCGCCAGTTTCTCTTCCGGCCCAAGGATGTCGGCTCCTTCAAGGCAGACACTGCAGCAGCGGCCGTGACCGAGATGAACCCGGACCTGAAGGGAAAGATCGTCTCGCATCAGAACAGAGTTGGCCCAGAGACCGAGGATGTCTACGGAGACGACTTTTTCGAAAAGCTGAACGGCGTCACGAACGCACTGGACAACGTACAGGCGAGACAGTACATGGATCGGCGCTGCGTTTACTACGAAAAGCCGCTGCTCGAATCGGGCACGCTCGGCACCAAGCTCAACACACAGGTCGTCGTTCCGCACCTCACTGAGTCATACTCGTCCTCACAAGATCCGCCCGAGAAATCGATCCCAGTATGCACGCTGAAGAACTTTCCAAACGCCATCGAACACACAATCCAATGGGCGCGCGAAAAGTTCGATGAGCTGTTTATTAAGCCTGCCGAGAACGTCAACCAGTATCTGACCCAGCCAGATTATATCGAAACGACGCTCAAAGCGGGCGGGAGTCAGACCGAGCAGGTGCGGCAAATCAAGTCATATCTCGTCGAGGGTCGGCCGATCTCGTTTGAGGCGTGCATCGCGTGGGCTAGGCTCAAATTTGAAGAGGACTACAACAACACCATCCGACAGCTGCTCTTCAGCTTGCCTGCAGATGCGGTCACTTCGTCCGGTCAGCCATTCTGGTCGGGCCCCAAACGTGCGCCAAAGCCAATCACGTTTGATTCAACGGACCCGCTCCATCTCGACTATGTCATCTCTGCAGCCAACTTGCACGCGTTTAACTACGGCTTGCGAGGCGAGCGGGATCCAGCCGCCTTTCAAAAGGCGCTCGCCAATGTCAAGGTTCCCGAGTTCACGCCCAAGAGCAATGTCAAGGTGCAGACGAATGACAATGAGGCGCCGCAGCCGGCGGCCCAAGCGTCCGAGACGGAGCTGACGGAGCTTGCGAGCAGCCTGCCGCCGCCATCTTCGATGGCCGGATTCCGGCTCACGCCAGTCGAGTTTGAGAAGGACGTCGATGACAACTTCCACATCGACTTCATCGCCGCAGCGGCCAATCTACGCGCGGTTAACTATGCCATCCAGACCGCTGACAAGCACAAGGTCAAAGGTATCGCTGGCAAGATCATCCCGGCGCTCATCACGTCGACAAGTGTCGCCAGTGGCCTTGTCTGCCTCGAGCTGTACAAGATGCTCGATATGGAGCACAAGACCATCGAGGACTATAAAAATGTGAGTGGCGCCAAGATCGCGAGACGCTGCGCGAATGTGTCGCTTGAGGCTGACGTCATCTTTTCATTCGGTCCCAGTCCTTCGTCAATCTTGCTCTACCGTTCGTATCGTCCGCCGAGCCGATCCCTCCCGCAAAGAACAAGTACTACGGTACGTAGTTGACCTGGCGTGTTTAATTTGGCAGCAACTGACAGGTCTTACACGATTTCGATGCACAGACAAAGAGTGGACGCTCTGGGACCGCTTCACTGTTCCAGGCAACCCGACTCTCGGCCAGCTCATCGAGGATTTCAAGACAAAGGAGAAGCTGGACATCACCATGGTCAGCTCGGGCGTTTCGATGCTTTACTCACCTTTCGCCAAGAATAAGAACGACAGGCTCAAGATGCCCATGAGGCAGTTGATTGAGACTATCAGCAAGAAGCCGATCGAGCCAGTGAGCCGCACGCGATGCAACTCTGAGTCTGTTGTCGTGGGGCCTTGCTAATGCCTTGAAAATCACCTGCAGCATGTTAAGTGGACTGTTGTCGAGATTATGGCCGACGACGAAGACGGCGAGGATGTTGAGGTGCGTCTGGGCAAAAAAAAATTGTTGCACAACGCAGCTCTCTTACCTTCCCCTTCTTGATCCATCGCGTCTTTCCCAGGTTCCCTTTCTCAAGGTCCAAGTAGCGTGAAGGCTGTGGGGGGAAACAGACCGATTAGACGCAAAGATCGCGCAGATGTATTTTACTATCTAGGCTACGCACGGCGTACGACAAGGCAGACGGTGACCTGCTGCATGCCTCTCTTGATGCACCTTAAGCGTTTACCGTGTCAGGCGCACTACCCATCCGCAGTGTATACGATGTATGTAGTACACACAGATAGTCGTATGCAGTGCATCTCTATGGCTGGCAGTCATCTGCTCAGCATCGCTTACGCCGCCGACCAGAAGGAACCGAACGCACAAGATTGACTAGTATGTAGGGATAAAGTTTTGAGTTGGCCTTGGCGGTGAGATCGGGCGGCGGGAGCTGTACAAAGGCAGCCTGTGCAGATAGGTGGTGGGGGCGGAGGGAGGCGAAGTCTCGGGGACCCGGCGAAAGCTGTGTGATATACTCTACAAGTGACAGGCGCGTCGCATGTTGCAGCATCCGCAGTTCCTTTCTGCTCCATCGTTCCTCCTCTTCACAAGCGGTCCTCCCGCTCCTTGGCTATTCCCAACTAGCAATGATTTTGCTTCGTGGTTGCTCCCACACTTGTTAAAAGAGCAAAGGAGATGTGCTCATACATCCCAGGCGGTCTTTGTCGTAGTTATGTCTGTTATCTTGGGGTTTTGGAAACCTCAAGTGGTTCGAACAATGAGGGCCGAGGAGACGAACGCCATTTAAATGTAAGACACCAGGTTGCATATGGTTGGATGGCGAGCATGCATGACCGCCACTTATGCATCCTTATGGTGCTTTCGAACAAGACTCGGGTTGTACGAATGGTACCGGTTGTACCAACAGCAAACGCACCAACGCAATGGCAGATCACATGAAGCCTCGTTTCCTTTGGCACCATGGACCTCGATACCCTTGACCCTGCTTACTACACTGTCGCTGGCGCGGACGCTCCTACTCAATCATAGTAGGTGCCGCTCTTCTTTTTTAATTACCAGTCACCGTGGGCAGCACCTAGCCTCCTTTCCCAGATGTCTTTTGCGGAAACGCTTTAATTCTATTTTGGCCAGTTCTGACCTTCAACGATCATAATAGCCAGTTGTAGTCCGGACCGTCCAAATCCTGCGCTTCAGAAGCAACCGTACCGACGCACCATTCTGCTCGCTTTTGCGTTTTTAAGGAAAACAGCGATATGCCCATGGACAAGATCACGGGCCAATACACGAGCATCAATGAAGACGTTCTCAGCAGTGCGTTCGCTACTTGCCTGGAAGCTCACTGCTCCCTGTTCTTTTCGCGTTGACTCAACTGCTTGATTTCAGCTTCCGGATCTACGACGCGTATTCCTATCCAGATCTACGAATGCCAGTCTGAGGCCATGAGCTATGGTAATTACGGTCCTTACATGTATGATCAGTTCCACCTGCCGACGAAGAGCATTCTCTTGGGTTCCGTGTAGCTCTTGAGATCTTGGACTAGCAGCTCACGATCCACGCATAAACTCTCCTTTTCGAATTCTAGTGCCTGGCCAGCAGCCGCAACTACTAAAGCACTAACGTTGTAGACCAGATCTTGTTGTGCTACGCACTGTGCAGCTTAGACGAGACGCTGGCCCCCGTGTCCTAACCGTCGGTGATATCATTTGTTCTTTCAAACCCCCACTGGTGGATTGATGTATGTAAATCTGATGTGCTACTTGTGAGGTATCATGCCTTGAATACAGGAGCCCTTGCTCGGACTACAAAAACGGTCACCTTTACAGAGTAGGCATATTGTGCGGCAATTGCGGCATTTCGATGCGGTGAGCTGCCCAGTCGCCATGGGAATATGGACATGAGGTCGCGTACGCTGCCGGTGGAACTTGGAGCGTTGGAGCGTACCGCAAGGAGTAAGCATGGACTGACTAACCCTTCTTGTAATTAGCACTCGCTTCATACCAGAGAACTCACGCACTATGACGCTCATCTTCCATGGTACACCTTCATTAATGCTTGCGATGGAGACGCTCCAGCCTGTGTGAGTCGAAGTTGGATCAGGAATCAGCATAGCATAGTATCGCATGTGGTAGGGACGGCGGAGATACGGGGCCGTGTCGCATGTGTGCCGGCCGAGCCGGCGTTTAGCATTGGCAGCGCCGCACATTCCCGGTGGATTCCCTGGGATGCCAGGAATCCGGCTGCCGGAAACCCCCGAAGCCCAAGGTGTGCCGTGCATCACAATCCCCCGTAATCAACTCTGTTTCTATGGTTGCCAGGAAACAAGGTTTGCTGGGCTGACTTCGAGATAGCATATTGCACCTGATAGATACACCAGTTCAAAGCTGCGTTTTCAGCTGAAATACTCCTTCCTTCTACAGTCGTCCCATCCTCGTCTGCATGTGCAGCGTCGTTATATGACTGCCTTTATTCAGGACGCGAAGTGCATATGCGCACTTTGACCGACGTTCACACATCCAATCGCGCCCTGGTTGTCCACCACCTCGTCCGCATCCCACTGCACAAAGCCCGTTTCAAGAATTGCCCGTATCCTGACATACCGCCAGCTACGTCCAGCAGCGAGCAGCTACTACCTGCAAGCTGACGTTTCACGTGCTTGCCAATTCCGGCGCCTCCTCCAGCTTTCAAGGGCTCATCTTATATCGCTTTGTCCGACTAGGACTATCAAAGGGACAAGGCCACAGGCGAGACTTATCAGAGCAAACAGAGCGAAGTGCGTGTGGGGAGCTGCACGTAATCGTTCAAAACGCCAGCATACCTGCTTCAGACAAGTCTGCCACTCGCGGCAGCAGCGATAACACATTCGTTAGATCAAGCATTAAAATCTTATTTGCTCCGACAAACGACAGCTCGTAGTATCCAAGTCGTCCTTTCGCACCGCAACAGCGCCAGGACGAAAAAAGGCGCAGTCAGGGCCCATATTTGCTTCGGAGACGGGTCCCTCTCACATTCTGAACAGCAAAAAGTCTGGAACGCCACATCGTCTTCCTGCCCAAGCGCATCCAGCATGGCGTCCCCTGCAACGGTCCCTGCGCCCGTCCAGTCCCCAGGTACCGATGCTCAAAGCGGCATATATACACCACCGAGCATTCCATCGAGCTTCCGCGAGTCATTCTCAGCATGGCTTAAATCGCGCCCAGCACGTGACGGTGCAGACGCAGAGATACATCTGTACAAGCGGCACACGCCGTACTTTAACGGCGCCACCGTCGGCAACGTGCGCAATGGGCGGATAGACCGCGTCTGGCGCGACACGTTCGGCAGCAAAGACGAGGCAAGCAGCGGGGACGATGCGAGGCGCAGCATTCCCAATCGCAACGTGGACAAGGTCGAAAAGGAAAAGATGGGCCTACGCGCTACGATGGGTACCAGGCTCAACTCGACTGATGGGAAAGTCGGGTTTGTGCATCTTGTCGACATTGACCGCGATGTCCCTCCCACAAATTCCACGCCTGTCTCGTCATCTTCTTCATCCACGTCAACCTCGTCTGCCTCGTCACCCACGGGAACCATGACGCCGTCGGCCCCCAGCAGTGGCTTCCTCCAGTCGCTCTGGGCCAGCAAGGCGCCGCGGCAGATCAACACGCTTGAGATAGGCTCGCCACACGTTTCACCAGATGCAACACCCGAAGAGTGGGCTAAAGAGCAAAAGGTCGTCTTGCTGCATGGGTATGGCGCAGGAACCTCCTTCTTCTTCCAGAATATCAAGGCGCTTGCAGAATACACGCCAGCGGAAGGTGCCACTGGCGGCTATACGTCTAGTCGCTTGTTCGCGCTCGATTGGCTCGGCATGGGGCGCAGCGCTCGGGTCCCATTTCACGTGCCAAAGAATGGCCTGCCTGGTGCTGACACTGGAGCTTACCTTGGCGCCGGCGATCACGTAGTCGCTTCGAACAACTGCGAGCCAAACCTCTCTTCGTCGGCGTCGGCGTCGCGGTCATCATCCCCCTCTCCAGTCGGCACAGCAGGTGCAGAGGAATCAGACATCATAATAGCGCGTACGCTTGCCGCCGAGTCGTTTTTCATCGACTCCCTTGAGAGCTGGCGCCAGGCGATGCGCATTGAGCGCATGACCATCATCGGTCACTCGCTTGGCGGGTATCTCAGCTTGGCGTACGCGCTCAAGTACCCGCATCGCGTCGAGCGTGTCGTTTGTGTCAGTCCCGCAGGAATTGGTTCTAGTGAGTAAGCACCGTCAGTGCAAGAGAATGACTCATGCGCAGCGACGACGTCTGACTTCAATGCTTTGCCTCTGCAGACCCTAACGAGCCAAACGGCACAAGGGGTACATTTGCGCCCAAGAACCTACAGGCGGCATCGCGCGAAGACCTCACGCAATCGCCTGCCATCGGTTTGAAACAGATGCAAGAGCAGCAGCAACAGGTGGAAGACGAAGGGATAAAGGAGGCAATAGCTGAGATTACAGGCGAAGATTCGAAGCGCAAGTCGATCGCGTCTGCAAGGGCCGCCCTGGAGCAGGTGGGTGTGCAGGCTGTCAATCGGCAGACCATCGACGCCGCTGCTCCCTGCGCAACGACCGACTCCAAAGTCAACGCCAACGCAAGCCTGAATGCCGGCGCCACCGGGAATGCAACCGGATCTGTGCCGGCATCGGCATCGACACTAGCCACAGATCAAAAGCCGAGCCCGCCACCGCGCATCGGCCGCCGCACGCGGGCGCTCTTCACATGGCTATGGGACCAGAACATCTCGCCGTTCGCGCTGATCCGCTCCTCGGCTTTCTTTGGGCCCATGCTGACGGGCCGGTACACGCGCAGGCGTTTTGGTGCGCTGCAAGAAGAGGATCTACGCGCGCTGCATGCGTACAGCCATGCTATCTTCAGCTCAAAGGGAAGTAGCGAGTATTGCTTGAGTTACATCTTGGCGCCTGGAGCGGTAAGTGCAGCTCTCTTTTCGCTCGTTCTGTCCATCATCGTCCATCATCAATGCTGCTTGGATGCTGACGCTATAACCTTTGTCACAGTTCGCACGCTACCCGATGCTCTACCGCCTCGCGCCCCTCCGCATGCCCGTCTCCTTCATCTACGGCCGGCGCGACTGGATGGACGTCGCTGCTGGCCGCTTGGCATGCCGCGCGCTCGCTGACGCTGGCAACAAAACCGGTTCCTGCTTTGTTGTCCCCGACGCGGGGCACCACGTCTACCTTGATAATCCCAAGGCGACGGATACGCTGCTCAGTTGCATTCTCAAGGGCGAGGTTGACGGACGCATCTAGCGAGTGTGAAAGCATAAACGTCCGCATTACTTCGATTTCCCCCCCATGTGATGAGGAAAACGTATATGAAACAGGTAAGGTACACGAATAAAGTAGTTGACGATGAATAATACATCTCGCGCACCGCCACCAAAGAGTGCAACTCTACAACTTGGAATCGGGCGGATCCAATTCCTCCAATACCTGTATTGCCACCTCTCTCCGAACTCTTTCGTACCTGTGCAGACTCTCGCGCAGCTCTTTACCCTCGTGGACACTGCAGGTGCCGTCCATCAGGACGATGGAATCGTACAGCGAAACAACCTTGCCTTCGCCTACGCGCGGCTTGGGCGCGTGGCTCGGGTGCAACGAGCAGTCGTTGGCGACTTTTTGCTCTAAGCAGTAGGTGCTGAAACAGTGGATCACCTGCATCGTGCCGTTATCATCCGGACAGGCTGAGTACATGTTGAATATAAGAAATGAATGCGCACCAGCCAACTCACACCATTCCCAGCTTCGAGCTGGAAAGGCTGCAGGAGTTCCGTGCCGTCTCGAGCTCCCTCGCGCATGTGATTTGCTCGGCTTTTACCTCTGGGTTAGCAGTTGTCCGCTCGGGGCACATTCGCAACTTACAGTCCTCTTTGAGCAGCAGCATGACCGAGTCGCTCGAGATCGAATGTTCCGTGCTGACGAAGTTGCGCGTCCGGGAAGTCGGCCTGCGACAAGCGATATTCAAGTTCATAGCTCTTTCCCTGTGACGAAATATGATGCACGTGCATTCAGTTCCATCGGGGTCAGATCGAATATGCCCCAGATTTGCTCCGTGTCTTTGCCCATCTGCAGGCGCTTGAAGGACGTCTCGCAAAAAAGCGGATGGCAATTTTGGCGCTTGCCGTCTTCCGCACTTCTGAAGCAAAGCTGGACAGGATACGCTTCGGCCCCATCAGCCCCATCAGCCCCGTCCGCCCCCGTCTTTTTCTCGCCCACTGTACGCTTTCGGTGCGAACGTTTTACATGGCGTCGACGTTGCCGTTTGACTTGGCTTTTAACTCTTTGCGCATGATCCTCCCGATCTCCTCATGGCTAAGCCCAATAAGCTGTTGGTGCGAACTCTTGGAGGTGTTGATGGCGCTTCTCGAGCCTCTCTGCACGCGGACATGTGCCCCATTGCTCGAATCGGCAGGCGGAAGCACGACGGGTGCCCAGGTGTAGGATTCGCATATTGGACTTATCTGGTCAAGAATCGGCTGGTGTATATCCAGCTTCTGCATACGGTCCAGCGTTTGGCCGCTGATACCATCACATTCCCCTTTGACTTGTTGGAGAGTGAACACAAACGGATTTTAGCACTCTCGGCACGGCAAGTAGCAGCATGGCGCATTGACATCAGAGTTTGCTTCGCTGTTACCATCAACCAGAAGATGAGCGTACCACTCCAATGAGCACGATTTCTGCGACGCTCTCCTTCATATCTGCTCGGCGCTATGTTGTCGTGAGCGAAAGCTTGTGCCAGAGAGGTGCGCTCCATGATGACCAACGAGAAGAGCAGTCCGGTGCCGCCTTCATTTATGCTCCCGCCGACCTCACCGTCCGAGCTGAATGTAATTAGATATAATATGTCGCAAGCGCATCAGCCGCCCACGTCATGCCGGAGTCGGCTCCACGATTCAGAAGCATTGCTTAGCAGAGTCTGGGCGCTTGGACGGTCTTGATTGATCAATGTCAGATAAAAAAGATGGCTACAAGACTATGTCCGAGTGCCCTGGGAGACATCCTTACTCTCGTGTAAAACAAGAGTGAGCCGACCTGAGTCTAATTTCGGTGGGAAGAAATGCTGAAGCCTTTCACCCGTGATAACTGGAACATCTGAGGTACCGTGGTGGGTTCGCCGTTCGGCGTTCATCGTTCACCGTTGAAGCCTTGATGAATTGATTCGCTCATACTTTGATGCGTTCACTAGCAGCAACAGGCTGGCGCCAGGTTTGTGAGTTCATTGAGTTGCGGTTCTTACCACTCTGAAGGCCTGGCCCTGTTGCACTGGCAAAGTGACCGGAGTAATGCGCAGACCCATGTGTCTTTGTGTGTTCCCCAGCAGGAAGGGGACAAGGCCAACTTATTAGCTTTCAAAATCGTGCTCTGTCCGTTTGACCCAAAGATGATCATGTCAGACCAAGCGTTAACGAACAAGACCGTCGGATTCCCATCAAGCTAACGCTGGCTGTGGTCAACGCTTGACCCGAGCCGATCAACGTGATTTCCAACCATGGAGCAGCTGAAGCAGGATCTTCCATTTGGCAGGCCGAGAAGGTGCATGCTCGTCGGCCTCGTTCGTCCCTTTTCCAGAGCGACCCTAAAATCCAGAAGCGATGCACCCATTATGCTGCGAATTGGCCTTGAATTCTCGCAACTCGACTGCTCTGCCACCCGCAGACTTTCTTCCATGTAAAGACGATATGGTATTCAACTTGGAGCGTCAGGAGAAAAAGGACATACACCTGAGTAGTATTGCGCCCGTCAAGCCCCGCCAGGGAGCCAGCTATCCAGTCAGGCACCGAACCACCCAGCAAAGGATAAAGAGCAGGGCTATATTTCTTCAAGCCTGGGGGATATAGCTTTGTCTAGGGTCAGGTGTGGAGGAAGAGGAGAAGGATGCCGCAGGGAGAGGGTATGAGGCTGCGTCAAACGCCCCCTGATAGCTCAAACGTGGTTGTCGACTTTGTGGGGGACTATCACATTCGGTCGCCGACAATCATGCTCTCTCCACCTTTGGTACATCGATGATCGGACCCCAGTCTACACTTTGGATATTCGACATAATCACTGTTCCCAGCTACTTTCATGCTTAATAGGTATGTAACATGGCTGAATTTGCCGTGGGGGCTAATAGCTCCGATCGCCCCCTAATTGCCTATTCCCACTGGGAAATGAGGTCCAACTCCCTGGGAAACAGCAGGATTTCTAGTGGAAATGGGAAGTCTAGCGAAATCTTGATCCCAGACGAGAACTCATAATGATTCTGACCTTCTTTAACGTCATACTTTTTGCCCTTAGAGGACTCCAGCCTCTACGCGGGACCATGGTATGTTCATGGATGGGACGGCGCAACGGCCTATCACCGTGAGCGTCCGGTATGCAAGCACGAGATGAACAGACAGGAGCCTCGTCGACGTTCTCGCCCCCAAGTCGCGCATCCAGACCCTTCATGGCTGAGCCTCGGCAGCAGGCTCGTCCGGTTAACCGCGTCTCGGTCCTCCACTCGACAACCGTGCGCTGCGACGCCGCTGCAACTCGCGGCGAAGAAGGAAGCTCGAGGGAGAGCGACACAGCGACGCTGCTGCTTGTGGATCCATTTGCTGGGTTCCTAGCGGGTCTTCCCTCGGACAGCACGGTTTTATTATTCCAGAGCCCCCCAACTGTACCGTACGGTCATAGCACGCTTGACGGTGATCTTTCCCGCCCGCGCAAAAAGCAGCGGCGCGCAAAAGATGGAAGGCTGGTTGCGGAAGCCAAAGAGGTGCACGAAGGCGTCTACGATGCTTTCGTGGAACCAGTCACCCTGTTGCTGAACAGCGAATTCATTCGCAACCGCACGGAACCGTGGTGGCTTCGAGACCCGTCACGGGTGCACCAGCATGCTCACTCAGTTCACTCTTTTGCGCGACCCGAGTCATTCGTCAACGGGACCTTTGGGGAAGCTGGAACTCTTGATGATGGCATCGGCGAGGACCGCTCACAAGGTTTACACGTAGATGCTCTGCACGGCCGCTTCATCCAGAATGATGCGCCAATTCCAATGGTCTTTTCGATGGGCAATGCGGAAGAGAGTACATGCGCGGCTTTTTTTATGCCTTCACAGTCAGCGATACTCACAACAGACCTTTTACAAGCCGACCAGCGACGCTTTCCGCCGGGCTGGCAAGCGCTGCTTTCCCAAGTGCGAGAACATGGCGGTGTGGACTTGTTGTACGTCGATCCTCCGTACCCGAACATGTCTGCGGAGCGTCTGGCGCGGTCGTCCATGAGCGCCAACGAAGACGGCAACGCCGCTTCCATGCACAGGCATAGCTCGTATGCGACGGCGGCGGATCTGTACGACCTCTGGCGCTTACGTGCGCCACTCACGTCTCTGCTCGCTGCTTCGCGGGGACAGGCGCCAGCCCGGCGCACCCGCACACTCGTTGCGTTCTGGATCACCAACGCGCCCAAAGTCCGCCGCTTCATCCTGAACAAGTTCTGGCCGCAGCTTGGCGTGCGCTATGAGGGAGAGTGGTGCTGGCTCAAGATGACGGCTGGGGCCAGCAGCGGGGCACGAGGTTTCCCGCCGCAGCCCGTAGTCAGCATGGCGCAGCCCGAACGCAAGAAGCCGTATGAGATTCTGCTGCTTGGCTGGGCTGGCGGCGATGCGGGTGCTGCAGGGCAGCGGGGCGAGCAGCAGGCGTTCAGAAAGCAGATCTTTGCCAGTGTGCCAATCGGGCACAGTCGCAAGCCTGCCATCGTTGGTGAGTCTACGGCCATAAGCTCTCGTCGGAATCAGGCGCGTGGTCGCGGCACTTACAATGACACTACGACACCACTGGCGGCAGACCTCCTTGCGGAGTATGTGCATCAACAGCGGGCGTTGGAGCCCGCGGCGGAAGCGCCGCGACGAGGATGCATCCGCAAGCGACGCGTCCCTCAGACGGGCACACGTGGAGACGGCTGTCTGCTCGCTGTCGAGCTGTTCGGACGCACGGCTCTGTCCGGCAGCCTGCTCCACGCGCCTTTGACAGCAGGGGCAGCATGCGCAGCAGCCTTGCCAGTTGCATCTTCGTCGAGCGCAGCCACCCCGGAGTGTGGTGGCGATGGCGATAGCGATGTGGATGCAGACGAACGAAACGCTTGTCGCTGCGTGTACGTCAGCGTCGGCAATGAGGCCTCCAAGTTCAACCAGCACGGCGTGGGCCTGCTCGTCGCGGGCGCCAAGTCGCCGGCAGCAGCAACAAAGGCAGTCAGATTGGCCGGGGTCTCTCGACATGCGGATAGCGTGGCGCAGGACTAGACATGTGAGATAGATGGAATGATTATGGATCAGTCAGGTTCTTTGCCATATGGTACATTTTGGGTGGTTGTCTTTGCGTGTGCGTCCATCAGCAGCGGGTTCTGTCTCCAGCACGGACGAGGACACCAGTGTGGTGCGAGAGCAAGCGGGTGTCGCGCGTTCGAAGTGCATACAGAGTAGAGATTAAGTCTATAAAGTGGGTGCGGTGCCAGCAGGAGATGGGGATGAGGGAACAAGCTTCGCAGAGGAGACAAATGCAGAAACGCGGAACTCGGTGTCTAGTCGAAAGAGATCTTCTTGCCGCTTGGCTCGGCGATGGCACCAGTGCGCACGCTGCGCCCGGCCCATCCACCGTCGGAGCGGGACTGGAAACCGCCGCGTCCGCCGCCGCGTCCACCACCACGGGCACCGCCACGGTCGCCACCGCGTCCGCCGCCACGTCCACCGCCGCGTCCGCCACCACGTCCGCCGCCACGTCCGCCACCGCGTCCACCGCCACGCGACGAATCGTTGCCGCTGCGCTCAGCGCGGGGCGGCGCGTAGTCGAGGCGAATGGGGCGATCGTGGATGGCAGTGGAGCCGTTAAGCGCTTCGAGCGCGCTGGTGGCGGAGTCCTGCGTCGCAAATTCGACGTATGCGAAGCCCTTGGGGCGACCAGACTCCTGGTCGGTGGGGATGCGCACGCTGGCGATTTCACCATGCGTGGCAAACGTGTTCCAGACATCATCCTCGGACGCGGCGAAAGCGAGGCCGCCGACGAAGAGGACGGATGATGGCGCGGAGCGCGTGTCGTTGAACGCACGGGCGCGAGCCGCGGGTCGCTCCGCCGCGGGCTTGGGGAACGAGAAGTCGACGTTAACGCGCCGCGAATCGATCTCGAGCCCGCTAGTGGCGGCGGCGTGTGCAGCACGTGCCTCGGCGGGTGTGGCGAACTGGACAAAGCCAAAGCCGCGCGACTTGCCGGTGTCGCGGTCAAGCTGCACACGCGCGCTGACTACCGTGCCGTACGCGCCAAACTCGGACGAGAGCCAGTCGTTGTCGACGTTCCAGCTTAGCTGGCCGACCCACAGCTGGCATGTCTCGCCTTCGGCCAATTCTGTCTCTGGCGTAGTTTTGCTCTTCTTGGTACCGCTCGTGTCGGCGTCAGCAGTGGCGTCGTCGGCCGCCTTGCGCTTCTTAGATGCCGGCGCGACTGGCTTGGCGTCCTCCATTTTCTCGTCATCGTCATCCGAGTCGTCGCTGTCGCTCTTCTCAACAGCAGCGGCAGGAGCGACGACCTTGTCCTCGCTCTCGTCATCGTCAGAAGAGTCGTCGGAATCTGAGCTGTCACCGTCGTCCGAGTCGTCGTCACTGTCACTCTCCTCTTCCTTCTTGGTGGCAACAGGGGCCTTGCCGTTGGCCTTGGCGGGGGCCTTTTTCACGTCCTTCTTGTCGTCGTCATCGCTCGCGTCTGAGTCAGAATCCGACTCGGAGGAGCTCTCGGCGGCAGCGGCAGCCTTCTTGCCATTGGCGGCGGGTGCGGTGGCTGTTGCCTTTGCCTTGCTGCTGCCGTTTGCCTTGGCGGCGGGCTGTGGGTAAGGAGCAGGAGACGCCTGAGTGAGTCTCTACCTATGTTGATTTTTTTCTCATCAGGGTTTTCGCTACACACCTTGGCGGCCTCCTCTTTCTCCTCGTCGCTTGAGTCGCTGTCGCTCGAGTCGTCGTCCTCGTCGCTCTCACTGCTGCTACTGGTCTGCTCCTTTTCAATCTTCTTGCTCTTACCAGCTGTCTTTTTGCCGCTAGGCTGTGCAGGCGCAGGGGGTGCTGCGCTGGTGGTACTTTTGTCCTTTTTGCTCTTGCTCTTGCCGTCCTTGCTGGCCTTGGCAGGCGCGGCTGCGGGAGCGGGTGCGGCGGAGATCTTTTTGCCCATGACTGGTGATGGGTATGTGCTTGCTTTGCTTACGTGTTAATCGAGCTGGGCTGGGGGATGTGTGATGAGGACGAGGAAAGAATGGTTGGTGGTCGAGAGTACAAAAGAAGAGAGGAGAGGACGATGAACTGACTCTCGCTTTCTGGCGCGGCAAATTTTCAGACTCGTGTGCGGTGTCGATAAGCTGCTCAAAAAAGGAATACGGAACACGGGTCGCGGAATACGGAATACGGAACACTTTCATTCCTTTTCCTTCTTCTTGTCATAAGGGAGTTCGGACGCACACCTCGCAGCCAGCGAAGCAAAGCAAAGCATACCCAAGGCGCAGACCACCGCGCGAGGCGAGCAGCTCCTTGTGCCCCCGTCAGCGAGCAAGCGCTGCAGCTAGGGAACACACAAACTCACCACCAGCACACCATGCCGCTTCCCTCCAAGATCGCACTGCACTTGGCCCGCTTCGCCGCCGCATCCGCCAGCGTTGCAGCAGCCGGCAGCAGCGCCGCGGCAGCCGCCGCCGCCGCTGCCGCTTCTTCTTCTTCTTCCTCCTCGGCGGCGACAGCGTGGGGACTCGGCGCAGGCGCTGGCGCAGCTGGCGTTGGCAGCGCAAAATGGAGCGCCGGTAGGGGCGCATACGCCAACTACCAGCATCTTCTCGCCCAAGCTCAGCAGGCCCAGCCCAACACCATCGCTCCCCAACGCGCCGAGAATGACGACGAACTCGACGACGACGACAACGACACCCCTCTCCTTGCATCTTCGTCGTCTCCCTCTTCCCGCCATATAGACTCGAGCAACTGCATACGCGCACGTAGCGATCGCCGCGGCAGGCAGCGCAGCCGCCCAATCGCGCAGCAGCAGCAGCCAGAGCATGAGCAGCAGGGCGAAAGGGTGCTGGTAGCAGGGCATAGAGGCGACCCACAACACCGCAAGACGACCGTAACCACTGCGCCACTCCTAACGACGACTAATCCGCAGCAGGCGCAGCTGCAGGAGCGCCTCGGGCGCGTATTCGCCGCCGCTGGCCTGCCACCCTCGCCACTGCCACCGCCACCGCGCGCTTCGCACGTCCATACCGGAAAGCCGGCGAAGGCGGAAGCGGAGACGCAAGTGAACGACGCGCTAGCAGCCTACCACGCCCGACTCGTGCGGCAAGGCGGACGCAGGCGTACCGTGAGCCTTGGCGCGCTTACCCAGAACGCACCATTTCATGCACCGCCGCATGCACCACCGCACGCGCACGCCCTGCACACATCGGCATGCGCGCTGCTCGCCGAGGCCGCCGCGCAGGTGCGCGCAGATGACGCGCTGAACACGCGCCTCGCGGCTCTGCATGCGCGCGAGTTCGATGCACACGCTTCCGATGCGCTCCGCGCCGCCACAAAGCGCCGCGCATCCTCGGAGCTTCCAGCAGGCGACGAGGCAACAACCGAAACCGACGAAAGCCGTGTGCGCAGCGGGAGGCCGCATGTGAGTGCCGCGCAGCAGGCGTTCTTTGAACGCGCGCTGCTTCTGCGCAACACCCTGCTGCACATGCACTCGGGCCCTGCTGCCGCGCAGCGCCTTCTGGCCGACTTTTGCGCGCTTTTCCCTGCGCCAGCCGACCGCTGGGTCGGCGGGTACAACGTCGTCATGGAAGTCTTGCTCGCTGCGCATGCGCAGGCGCGCAGCAAAAGCAAGGTCCGCCCAGACGAGGTCGTGCAGCTGTACCTGCAGATGATCCAGGACGGGCTCATGCCTAACGCGCGCACGCTCTCTTCTGTCATCGACGCGCTGTGCAGAAACCCGGCCGCGCAGACGTTTGCGCCCAAGGACCACCACCGTGGGAGTGGGAGTGGCAGCAGCAGCAGCAAGCAGCCGCTGTCCAACTATGCGCAGGCGGTCTCACTCTTGCGCGCTGCGCACGCCTCGCGTCGCCGTCCATATACTCTAGCACCGTACCACGCGCTGTTGCGCGCCGCGGCGAAGCGCGCCGACGAGGCCACCGCGCTCGAGGCTCTCGCGCTGCTCGAGGCGCATCCCGCGCCGATGCGACCCAACGCGACGACGTTCGAGCTGCTGCTCGCGTGCTTTGCTGGCGGCGAGAGCGTGCTGCAGCACGCGCTGCGCCCGCGCGCACATGCTGCCTGCGGCACCGGCGACAGCGTCACCCTCACGCAGCCAGAGACCAAGCTTAAAGTTGTGCGCTCCATCTTTCAGGATTTCCTCGCGCAACAGCAGTCGCAACCTGCTGCAGCCGACGAGGCGAATGCGGACGTGGACGCCGACACCCAAGCGGCTCTGGCCCCCGCGAGCACGATGCATGTCTGGCATGCCTTCATTAACGCGCTCTTCCTCCTCGGCGACGTCCCTGGCGCCATGCACGTGCTGGGAGAAATGCTTCAGCGCGCTTCTACCGCGGCTGCATTATCGCCGCAAGCAGGCGAGACGCAGTCTGTGCAAGATGCCGGAGAAGAAGATGCGCATTCCGTCGTCCTGCTCTCCGTTGCGCCGGCGCCAAACGGCGATACGATGGACGTGATGCTCGCGGGTCTCCTGCACGCTGGGCAGTTCGAGCAGGCTGCCGAGTGGTACGCCAAGATTAGCGAGCTCGCTGCCGCCGGTCTTGCTCAGCCCTCGGGCCGCATCGCCGCGAGCGTCGCCACTGCGCTCGCGCATGCCGATGCGACCAGGTACTCACCGCTCCTCCGCCGCCTTGATCTCGATGCGCGCACGCCTGCCGCGCCCGTGCTGCTGCAAGCGTACCTCGCGCGCGACGACCACGACGCTGCGCTCGAGCTCGTCAATCGCATTCCCGCCGCCGCCGCGCCGCAGCTGCATGATGTGCTCGTGGCGCTCGTGCAGCGCCTCACAGCCGACGGGCGCACACGCGACGCCGCTGGCGTGTTCCAGCGCACCGTCGCAATGCTCGTGCCTGCGAGCCGTCTACAGGACTCCGAGGCCATCGTCTCCCTTGCGCTGCACCTCACGCAGCCGAGCGCGGGCCTCGTGCTGTCGGACGCACTGGAAATGGTTGCGCTGCCCCTCTTCGAACGTTCGACGCTGGCGCTGGAGCCAGAGAGCGAGCTGCTGCTCAATCTCGTCACGCTCTACTACGCCACGCCAGACGCTGCTGACAGGATCAGTGTCTCGGATCGCGCGCTGAGCCTGCTCATTCGAGCTTTCGCCGCGCACCTCGCGAGCGTTGCCGTCTCCCGCGCTGAGGCCGAGCTCGCTCCTGAGCTCCGCCTGCTGCTACAGGACGCTGCGCAGCGTCCACAAGCGCAAGCGCGCAGCGCGCACCAGGGCCTCGACTGGTCCCCGCTTGCGGACATCCTGCACGACCGCTATGGCGCAGATGGCATTCGCATGCTTGCTCCGTTCCTCGACCCCAGCTACAGGGACCTGCTTGCGGCGCAGCCGTGGCGCGTCGCTTCATCCAGCGGCTCGCCCAGTCCGCCAGCAAGCTTCGTCTTTGATCAGACCAGCGGCAACAGCGCCAGCGGTGATGCCACGTCCGTCGCCTCTTCCGGCACGGCATCAGGCTCGCCTCCCTTGCCCCATGTTCACGTTATCGATGAGGACCTCTCCGAGCGCTTAGCGGCTTTGACAAAGCACTGGGACACCAACACGCTGCCTCAGATACTCGACTTGCTCAATGCCGCGCTTGCAGTCGGCGACTACCCGACGCCGCAGGTTCTCTCGGGGCTGATCAACTATGCAGGACGCATGAAGGACGTCCCTACCCTAGACTACTTTCACAGCATCGCCACGCACGTTCTCGGCACTGCTAGCGGGTCTGTCGGCTGGAAAGTAGATGGATGGCGCTTGGTCGAGAGTAGCATGATGGGCGCACTTGCCCACGCCGACCAGTTCGAGCGTGCCAATCTGCAACGCCACTCGATCATCAGCTCCGGGCAGGTTCCGTCCGCCGACGCCTACGCCGCCCTCATCGCTGTGATCAAGGACACGACGGACGATGCTTTAATTGCGCAGGAGCTCTTCGACGAGTCGCAGCGCCTCGGCGTCCGGCCGAATGTTTACCTATTCAACACAATTATCTCTAAGCTCTCCCGCGCCCGCAAGGCCGACCGCGCGCTGCAGCTCTTTGCACAGATGCAGGCACTCGGCATCCGCCCCAGCAGCGTCTCGTACGGCGCCGCGATCAACGCCTGCACGCGCATCGGCGATGAGGCCAAGGCCCGGGAGCTCTTCCACGAGATGGAGAGCGATCGCGGCTTCCGGCCGCGCGTGCCGCCGTATAATTGCATGATCCAGTTTTACGTTCACACCCAGCCGGACAAGAAAAAGGCGATGTTCTACCTCGATAAACTCCGACAAGCGCGCGTGCAGCCCAGTGCGCACACGTACAAGCTCATTCTGGACCTGCACGGAACAATAGAGGTGAGCAAGGCCCCGAATTCATTTTCCCCCTTAAGCTGACTCTCCTGTCTTTCCGCGGCAGCCCGTTGACGAGCGCCTGATGCACGAGGCTTTCGAAGAGATTGTACAGAACCGGCAAATACCTGTGCAGGGTACACACTGGGCGTCCTTGATCACTAGTCACGGAGTCGCCTTGAAGGACCTCCCACGAGCAGAGCAAATCTTCCAGTCCATCGCCCAGCATCCCTCCAGCCTCCGTGGCGGACAGCAACTGCCAGACGCCGTGTGCTACGAGGCGCTGCTGGCTGTCTATGCAGCTCATAATGAGATTCCCCGCATGCGCCAGCAACTTGCTGCCGCCCTTGACAAAGGCATCCGTCCCACGGCATACCTCGCGAATGTGTTCATCAAGGCGCTCGGTCGCGCCGGACCAGCCGAGCTTGACGAAGCACGCGCAATCTTTTTCCAGATGATCGACCCCGCCGTCGGCGTCGCCGCCGCGGGCAACCACGGACCGCGGACGCATGGCGCTGGTGCCTTGGCGACGCCTGATGCGCAGGCGATGTCGCAGCGGGACTCTGCGCGCCTGCCACCCTTAGACCCTGCATACCCTTGGAGGTCGGTTTTCCGCGAGCCCTCGACATACGAGGAGATGATCCGCGCAGAACTCAACGCAAATGAGCTCCACGCTGCGCACCAATTGCTGCACCGCATGGAGGCTCGCGCGTTCCCACCGCCGCTCGTTCTTCACACAGCAACGCTCATTAGCGATGCGGAAGCACGAGTTGCGGCTCCTATCCACGATGCTGCCGCTTCCTCATCTTGAAACCGACCTTTTTTGCTCTGCAAGAAATTACCAGTCCGATGCACCATCCCCTCTCTGCATTTACAACATGTATCATAGATGCGGTTCGTAACAACGAATCAGGTTTAATGCTCTCACTCGCAATCACTTCACAGGCGTCGCTTTTACAATCATTGGGACCACACCGCAGATTTTGGGCTTGAACACGGCATGTCCGACGGCTGTCATCAGGCCTAGCATAACGCCAGAGTGTAAGGTGATGCCGATGACTGGTTGTGAAACGTCTCTAAATACCGAGCTTGCAACGGGCCTCCAGCAAAACAAAGACAAATAAACTCACTCTGATGGCCCTCAGACTCCGTGAATGTCTGACTCAGACTGTGCCGCAGTCGGATGGCACTCGTCGCATCTTCCTCTAGCACTTCCTGTTTGGCCATCGGACAAGTCACTATTTTAGTCCAGGGCGCGGGCTCGTGGTGATCGCTTCCACGCACCATAAATAACTCGTCCTTCTCGGTCATAGACTCTTCTATTTCGAACTCCGGAAACCTCTGCTGAATGACCGTCTTATCGGCGCGGCGATCGCACATGTGCGTCGTCAGGGTTTCGCGCCACAGCTCACGCATGCGCGGCACAAGTGGCGCGCGGCCCTCGATCGTGTTTGCGCCAAGGAGGACACCATCGTAAGTCATGCGCAGCGTCACAGCACTGCGCTGCATTGGGCTGCTGAAGAGAATCGTCGGAAGGGGTGGGCGGTCTTCGTCGTTGGGCGGAGCCTCGCTGAGGAGGCGCTTCCACATGCTGTTAACGGCTTGTGCTTGCGAGACGCCGAGAGGCGTCAGCGGCGGGTCTGGCCCCCAGGTCATTTGACCATCGCCGTCGAGTAGAGCCCATTTGCCGTCCCACGCTTCAGTGCCGTACTTTTAGGAGAAGTGTTAAAACATCACGCGCGGTGGGTGCGGCTTTTTGACTGGATAGCGTATATGCGCTCACCTTGGCTTCGGCGACGTTGTGCCAGCCCTCGCCGTGCCGGCCGGCGAAGATGAGTTTGTACTGCTCCCCATTTTTGGCAAATGCGTTGAGCTCCGTGAGCGTGTCTACGAGTTGCTTCCACGTCTTGTCCTGGCGAAGGCCAAAGTTCTCGGCCAGCGGCGGCAGCTGAGGCGGTTGCACCTCCTCGTCGTACAGAAAGAAGCCATTGAGGGTCTGAGCGTGAGCACGATATGTCATGGGTTCACGATTCAAAATGGTGTCGGAAAGAAGCCGTCAGCAGACGACGGAGAAGGGTGCCCTTCCAGACAAAGGCTTTGGAAGAACGAACCTCGAATGTAAATTTCGGTGCAGGCCAGGGCCACTGCTCGGTCGAGACGGGTGCTCGTTGGCTTGTCATCATACTTCGAGGTAAAGCAAATGCGAAACCTGTGCGCCTGCGAGGCAGGGTCTTCTGTTCGTGCCTTGCGAGGCAAGACGGCAGGTGCGAGGCCGGGATAGATCTTCTGCGGGCCAGCCGTACGGTGCCTCGATGTAGAAGCTCACCTGCTCGCACCTCGACTCGATTGCATCACCTGGTGGCTTGTACATTTATTGCCCGAGGTAAAACGTTGCGTCACTGGTTAGTATCAAGTGTCCAGGGATGCAACAGTAACCCTACTTGGGCACCTCCTCCCGTTCGAACCAATGACCACCAGCATGTGCTCGGCTTATGCATAGCAAACTTCCATCAGCATCGCTCTCTCTTCTGTGGGAGTGTTCCTTTTCTTGCAGTTCAAGACACCTGTCGCACAGCAGGACCTTTCTAGGCAGCTGCGCACAGGATAATCTCCGCTCACGTTCAACCAGGAGACTGCCAGACGAGGCAGAGCGCGAGTGTGCGGCCGGAGCCAGCCCAGCTTGCCCGACATGTCAGCCGCACCCGCGATCAAGGGTGGCTCCCTCGCCATCCCCGTCGCGGGCGGGAGGGAGGAGCTGGACATTAACTTGAGCAACCTCTTCGGTGCTGCACCCGCCGCTGCAGGTGACGAGCAGGTCGATTTCGAGTTCGTCAGGCAGGTCCTGCGAACCGAGCTCCCGCCGGTCGTGTACTGGTGCGTCATCGCCCATTACTGCCTAACCCAGGGCCACCCATTGGAAGCCGAGAGCCTCTGCCACGAGGCGCTCCACTTTTACGAGCGTCAAGGACCAGACTTGGTGCCGGTGCACAACCTGCTCGCGAGCATCTCCCTTGCGAGGGCGAGGACTGCCCCCCAAGAGATCCTCGCAGATGCCCGCTACAAAATCCTCGATCCGGCAACAGAGCTGCCCAAGGCGCACCACCATGCGCAGGCTGATGCCGCCATCAAACAGGCCGAGCGCGTACTGCAGTCTGTGGCGAGTTCTAAAGACCCGCGAATGCAATACTATCGGCAGCTCACCGCGCTCAACCGAGGCATCTTCATGCTCTCGCGGGGCCAGTACGATACGGCCCTCCCCTGCTTTGACTTCGTCCTGCGGCACCACCCGCAGCACGCTGTCGCTCTCCTTGGAAAAGGCTGTTTGCACCTGCGCAAAAAGCAGTGGGCCCAGGCGCTGAAGTTGTACCAGCTTGCCTTGCGCGTGAGCATTCAGATCAACAAGACCGCAGAGGACGTGTGCGATCCTTCTTCGCGATGGAATGGTCCCGATCCGCGCATCGGCATCGGCCTTGCTCTCTGGGGCAATGGTCAGCACGAGGAAGCGCGGCGGGCATGGCAGCGCAGCCTTGCCGTCCACCCCGGCTCGCACAGCGCGCACACGCTGCTCGGCGTGTCATCCCTAGCGCTCTACAGCCAGCCGCAGGCGCTTGAGGGTTGCGCGAGTCCAGAGGCAGAAGCGCAGGAGCGTGATCAGCTCTATAACGAGGGCATCAAGCACATCCAGGCTGCCTTCAAGATCGACAACCGCAGCGCCATCTTGGCCGTTGCGCTTTGCTCGCACTTTACTACCAAGGCCGATCTGCTCATTGAGTCTGGTCTACTCGCCTCTGGCGACGACCACGAGTGGGCGACCGTGCGCAACCACCTCAGTGCGGCACTCAAACTTGGTGAGCACGCCATCCAGTATGCTGAGCTGTCCAGAGCCGGCATCCAGGCGAAGCTGCATTTTGCGCGCGCTCTGCACATGATGTCATACCTCCCGGGCGGAGAAATTGCGTTGCGGACCGTCGCGCAAAGGTACTACACCATGGTTCTTGACGAAAGCAGCAAGGCAGGACAGATCCCCAGCATGGCAGCAGCAGCTGTGGACAGCAAGGGCCTGCAGGTGACCGACGCGCTTGCCGTCGTCGGACTGGCGCAGATCCAGATCTCGACCGGCAGCACGCCCGCTGCAAAGAAGACACTGTTGCGCTTCCTACCCAAAGCTCAGTCCGGCGGCTCGAATGCCCTTGAGGTCATTCTCCTCGCCGTCAGCCTCGATGTGCAACCGGCGACATCTGCGAGCCTTCTGGAGCGTGCGCTCAAGCTGCTCGAAGCTGCAGAGCGCGAGAGCGAGCGCCTAGCTCACCAGCACCCCAACGTTATGCAGGAGGAAAGCGAGAACCTCTTCATCGCTTCATCCGACTTTTCGCGCTCCAGCCTCAAGAAGGAGCTGCTTGGGCTTAGGGCGCTGCAAGGCATTGCGACGCTTGCCCGCGACCCGCTCATCTTTGTCGAGATGGCCAACTTTATCCGCGCACAAGACCCGAGCCTCGCTGCGCGCTGCTATTCTGCGGCTCTGCGTATTATAGAAGCGCCAGCAAAAGAGCTAAGTACGCGTGACACCGCGCTGAGCGTCCAGTTGCGCAGCAATCTCGGTGGCATACTCAGTCTCCGGGCACTGGAGATGGACAGCTCTGAGGGCTCTGAGCGAGCGAACTTGCTCGACCATGCGATCGCTGAGCTTCAGGGAGCCCTTGTTGCAGCCTCCAAGATCCCCGCTGGCTCGCCCGAGTCGGCCGCAGCGGAAGCCGTGCGCGTTGTCTCGCTGTACAACTTTGCGCGCGTCTGCGAGCTCACCGACCCAAGCAAGGCAGAGCAAGCGTACCAGACGGTGCTCGCTGCGCACCCTGAGTACCTCGACGCGAAAGTTCGTCTGGCGCTGCTGCACGTGACTGGAGAGAAGAGTGGTGGCGCGGCCGCTGCAGAGGCACTTTTCAAGGAGGTCTTGGCGAGCGATAATACCAACTTTGATGCGCGGCTCAGCTATGCCATCTTCCGAGCTGGCCAGCTGCCCGGGTCACCCAAGACAGAGTGGACAAGCGTCAAGGAGTTTCTTGCGGAGGTCTTCCAAGGCCCTACACCAGCTGGCGCGAAGTCATTCGGATCCAAGACAGATGCCAAAAGCATTCAGACAAAAGGGCAGCAGGATGCTCCGTATCTTGCTGCGCTTGGGTGGGCCTACTATCAAGCGCACGTGCACGGCAAGCCAGGCCCGGACCCGAAAGCTGAGCGAACCAAGGCGCTGTACCGTGCCATTGACCTCTTCGACCGAGCGCTGCAGGCGGACAAGCTCAATGCGTTCGCCGCGCAAGGCATGGCTATCCTGCTTGCTGAGGATGCGCTCGGCGAGGCGACGGCGGAGCGGCAGCTCTCGGCGGGCATCGCGCAGGCCGCATCGGACCAACGAGCAGAGGAGCGCCGCAAAAAATCGGCCGATGAGGCCATCGCCGTCTTGGGCAAGCTTCGCGACGTACGTGAGGATTCGAGCGTCTACATCTGCCAGGGCCATGCGTTCATGATCAAAGACGAGTTCGATAGGGCAATCCAGGTTGTGAGTGCCTAAAGCAAAAAGTCGAAGTTGAGATCGCTATGAAGTCTAATATGCTGACGGTTGTCCTGCTTGGGCTAATAGTACGAACTTGCTGCTTCCAAGTTTCACCCAGACGGCAATCCGTCGTTGCTGCAGAATCTCGCGCGTGCCGAGTATGCGAAAGGCATTTCATTTAAGATCCCACTGCATCTCTGGCGCTCGATAGACTACTTGGATCAGGCGAGGAAAAAGCTGGACGCTCGCGGTGACTCGTCATCCCTCTTAGAATGCAGCTGGATCCGCTACAATGAGGCTGTCACTCGGCAGCAACTGTTGCAGATGCTTCACAATCTCAAGCCCGACAAGCGTAGCAGCGACGAGATATCAAAGGCGGCCGATGGGCTCAAGCTTGCGTTGTCGCTTTTTACCGATCTCCTTCCCATCGCCCAGAAGCATCAGCTGTCTCACATCACTGCCGACCTCGTTGAGCAGCGCATCCAATACGGCGAGAATAAGCTGCTAGCCCAGAGTGAAGAGGTCCTTTCGGAGCAGAAGGCATACGAGGCGACCGTCAACGCCGCTCGCGAAGAGGCGGAGGCGTTGCTCGCTGAGAAGGAGGCTCTGAAGGAGAAGCTGCGTGCGGAGCGCGAAGCTGAGCAGATCCGCAAAGCCGAAGAGCTCGTGGCTAAGCGCTTGGCTGCGAAGGAGAAGCTCAACGAGGTGGACTGGGCCGTGCTCAACGCTGTTGTCGACGAAAAGCGCACTAAGTCTGGTGGCTCTAAGAGCCGAAGAATGAAGCAGCATGAGGAAGAAGATTTAGGCATCGTCAACGATGAGAGTGAGGAAGGCGGCGATACCCTGTTTAGCGCAGCAGGGTCGGACGAGGATGACGATGCACCAAATGATGTCGACAACGATGCTGCACGAGCGTCGAAAGCACTAAGCAAGCTCAAGCGCAAAAAGGAATCTCAGAAGCGGATTAAGAAGAAGAGACAGGCCACCTCCGACACGGATGAGTCAGACGCCGCTGAGGATAGTGAGGTGGAACCCCGACCCAAGAAGAAAAAGCGCGGCAAGCCTCAAATGTGAGTGTTTCCAGGCCTAACAATGTATTTCGAAAGTGTTGGCGCCGACTTTTTATTTGAATTTCAGTTTCGATGAAGATGACCTCATCGACTCTGATGAAGAGGCCTAAGGGAGTGAAGCAAACGCAATACACGTCCGCACGCGTCCACAGTGCATCTCTACTTTTACGCGATAAGGGCCTCTCTATATCAAATACGAAAGGCTTACACTACTGTTTTGCGTCTATGATGATATATGCATGTCTGGCAAAGAGGCATTGTATCTTGCTACTGGGAATGTCTTCCTGCATTCAGTTCGCTGGTGTGCAGTGCTCGCTGTCGCGGACAGGGTTGCCTGCCCAATGCGGCATTGCAAACATTTTCAGGACAGTGATGGAGAGCAGGAAGCAGCACAAGGCATTGATGCTTGATCCAGCGTCCAGCGCTGCACTCAAGACGTAGTTGAAGCGCTCGAACCACCTTGGGTGTTTCTCACGCGCGTATTTTTGGGACAGCCATGCTGCAATGAAGCCGGACGTAATGATCTGCGAAGTAAGGCGACAGTCAGAGGGTTGGGTACAGAAGGGAAGAAAAAAAGGAATGTGCTCACGTTGGTCGGAATCTGTGGTGGGCCAGCCGCTGCGTGAAGAAGAATGGGAAAGGCCACCCGACGAAATGGCAGCTTACGGCCCCAGCGCTTGTGGAGCAGCCAGGGGATGATGGGCAGAACCAGACCTGCAAGGAAACCCCAATACACTGTGCGAGAGGGTGATGAGCTTTGCTTCTGAACAAGCTGGAGCCCGTGACGCGGAAGACTCACAAATCGAATATTTCCCGGTAAAGAATTGTGCTGGCCCTACGACGCCCCAAATCACACTTGCCGAGTAGAAGATGTGCACCTGCCACGGAAATGGAAAGCATATAAGTGCCCCCTCCTCCGGCAGTGGGAGCCATTGGAAACCCGCACCTTTCGCCCATCCCACTGACCGGTCGGGTCAACTTTTGACCCGTCCAAGAAAGCTCGATATCCGCTTTTCGGGGAGAGGACGATGTTAACCACGATTAAATTCACGCAGCAACCTGCGTTCAACGAGTCTCTTAAGTCCTGCGCGTGTAAACAGCATCGACTTGGACCCACCAATGACTGTTCCCAAAATCTGGGTGATGAACATGTGCTTCGGCGGGATTTCTGATTGGAAGAGACGAATGCGTGAGTAATATATCGCAAGCGAAATCACGGTGTGATTACGCACTCATGTAGTGCGCAAGCTTGAGATCGCTGACGAGATCCAATGCTTCTAGAGGGAGATTGGTGCTTTAGTGGGACAGTGTGACATATTCTCAGGGCAATCGCAACATCACTTACGGGACATGCTTAAGTAACCCTGTGCTTTGAAGAGGACGTCTGAAAGTACCAGGTAAGCGGCGTTCAGCCGTCATTGGCACTTGTGCGGATACGCGTTCGCAAAATGCACTCACTCGCAATCGGCTTCCCTGGAATGAAAAAGCCAGCGACAAACCTAACGAAATGGTTGAATGCAGGGTCAGTAAAAGGTGGGATAGAACTAGAGCGAGTGCAATTCTCACTCAGTGATGACATTGAGACCTATCGATGTGTCGCTAACAGCCTTGAGCACACCGACGGGTACGAGGAAGGCGAATCCGATGCAGGTGGCGAGCAGCAAACCCCAGATTGGAAGCTGCAATTCATCATGGGTGGCGACTAGCCAGATGGAGCCCGTCATCGAAAGTCCTAGGACGGTGAGGTACCACGATGTGGGCACATTGTGGTAGGCCATCATGAGGCGATTGTGGGCATCGTCGTAATGCGGATAAAAGAGAGCACGCTTGATGTCCTTGCTATGCCACAGGTAAACGTGTGTGATCTACGCCAAAGAGATCGTGTTTCAGATTGCAGCTAGCCATGGAAAAGCCAACTTCCTTTACTCACCATCGATGTCAAAATTGCAAACTGCGAATGTGAGTCAAGTCAGTTCCCTGGGGTGATACATGTGCACTTTGGTTGGGGCTCACACTCAGCCCGTAAGTCAAAGCGACTAAAGAACCATCACATCAGCACTAGAACAGAGAAGAAAAGGAAAGCAGTCGGTGCCACCAAACATACAGAAGGGTGTCAAGAGGAGTGGCTTTGCCGCCAACCATTTTGCAGGGTCAAGCGAATTGTCTGAAGTCAAAATGGTGTTGACTTCGAACTTATGGAACGTTGAGTTGAACAAATCAGGGCCGACGGGTGACGGGAACCGCTTCGCGTCCCAGAAGTTGAAAAAGTAGAGGATAGGCGTGACGATGTACATCATTCCTGCAATTCCTGCGTAAAAATTGCATGCGGCTGTATTTGAAATAACGCGTGTGTTAGGAAAGAAACCCCAAGTAAAAGCTGCGATTGGAATGGTGCGATTTACCCCACTTGAGTCATGACGTACAATCAGAGGCATGTCATCAGTCCCTAGCCTCGGTTTATCAGCTTACGAGACAAGACATACCCAAGGTTGAAAGAGCGGGCCGCTAGTTCCGATCGCATTCCAGTCGAGGCTAAAATTGAGCAGTCCAAACCCTTTGTAACCACTCGAGAGCACTCGGAATGTCGGATTTCTGTTGTCAACCAAGCAGAGAAGAGCAATGCTTGAGAGAGAGGGGATGATGAGTGTCGGAATGAATTGGTAGATCTGCGGTTGTTCGCGCAAGTAGACAAGAAAATCAGTCACATAAAGCTGTTCCTAGAGCAGTACGTCATCACCGCTACACCTACGAAGATTGCAACGAAAATGATGATGAAGAATCGGAGTCGGACGGTCGTCAACTTCGACCCCTGCCCATGCAATGTGTGAAACAAGCTGGTCGTGACCAGGCTGCTGGGGTATATCATCGCGACTGGCTTGACAAGGATGTTGTGCACGATGCCCGCGAAGCCAAAGCCAAGAGTCTGAGTGGTGAGGAGCAGGACAAGCGACGAGGCGGTGCTCATATGCTGTTTGAAAAAGAGCTCCTGTATGTTGATAATGTCGGACGCGTAGGCACTCGTTGCGCCCGATGTGACAAGCACCGCGATGAGGAGATGCTCCCTGAAAGAAAAATGGAATGCACCTTCAGATATGCTATCGTAGGAGCCAAGCTACTGCTTTCAATCGCAAGAGAATGCGCACTTGATGGAGAACGGGCCTGGGTTGAGACTGAACTCGCCAATAATGGGCACGATGACCCTCCATGCAGGCATCACCTTGGCGAGCCATCTCCCGATCGGAAGAGAGATGAGAATGACGAAGTACGCCGAAAATGATGGCCTGAAGCAAGGGGTCAGTATATTTCCGCAAAGCAAGAGCTTCGGAAGCAATGCTCACGAATTGGATTTGTAGAAGAACAGCTGCAGGACAAGAGCATGGAACATGAGAATCTGGACCTCTTCATTAAATTGGCTTTAAGCACTGCTCACCTGGCTGATCGCAGCTCCCACCACGCAGAGCACACTTCCGATCAAGATGACGCGGACAGTAAGCGCCGGAAGTGTCGGATCGTCCGTTTCGGGTACCGCTTTGGACACGAGGATCATTGGATCATCGCTGTCGTCATCGTCATCAGTAGCAAATCCACTTTTACCCTCGTCCAGCGTCCGTGGGGAGCGACCATAGCCTCCCTCGATGGTGTCGAGTGAAAGCCGGCTCCGGCTACGCTCGGGTAAGAGCCGATTCAGCTCAATGTCCTCGCCTTCTCCCTCGTCGTCATCTTCGTAGCCGCGGCCATAGCCTTGCTTTCGTGTGCTGTTTCCGCTACTGATATCATTCACTCCATTGCTTCTCAAACTTGGGAGTCCATCTGGAATGGTCATCGATGAAGCGCCGCTGCTATCGAGCATGCGGTTGCACAGAGGTGTAAAGGGGATGCCGGTCGCGGAGCTCGGCGCTCCCGGGCGATCTGCCATCGCCTGCAAAATGGACGCTCGCCGTTGCGCTTTCGGCGAAGAAGACGCACCAGTAATCAACCACCGCACGTTTGAACTGCGACCCGCTGATTTTTGCGGATAATGAGACGAGTCAAAGTGCGGGGGACGATGTACCTGTCCTTGGTGAAAGTGAGCTAAAGGTAGAACGTAAACCCCACCTCTGAGCTCTTAAGAGGTTCCGACTTGCTATTGGTGGCTCCACATCGAGTGGATTCGAGTCCCACATGGTCGTTCCCATTCGTTATATAATAACTGGTTGCACCGAAAGGAATACTGAGGAGTCCAAATCTGACCCACCATATCATTTTCTTTATTGTTTTATTTGGAAAGAAAGAACTCAGTCTTGCCGTTTAATGCTGCTCTTCCAACAAAGCACCCAGAACTCAGACCTCCAAACCATTGACCATCCCCATAGAGATGGCCTCACCGCCTCATGTGCCAGTCCTCGATCCCATTCTGGCCGCCTAGTACCACATCGACTGATGCAACATCAGTCAAGCGACCAAAACAGTGCTGGGGAGAAAGCAGAGAGGAGACACTACTTCAAGGCACATTCCAACATCTCAGAAAGAGTTCCGGTTCACGGAATATGTAAGGATGTGCTATCTCCAGGGCTGATATCTCAGGCGGCATCATTAATAAGAATATGGGTTGCTATGCTTGAACAAAACAAAAATAGATGTGGGAACAGCTTCGAGATTTCTAAACGCGACATAGGCCACGACTCAAAGGGAACAGCCCGGGGTTTGTACGGCGCCGATCACGCGTGGCGCACTTTGTGTACCTGCTCGAGCTGCGCCTTGTAGTCCAACTCCCACGATGGAAAGTCAAAATTCGAGGGAAACTTAAGTCTTGACAGCCGCAGAAACCTACGGCGAAACATCAAAATGCAGGACGCCAGCTTTGTTCCGGGCAGCAAGTTGGAGATGCACCATGCTGCATATGACCTCGCTACTCATGCTCACTGCCCTCTCTGCGGGAACGAGCTGTGGTACCTGGCAAGTATTCCGCCTTTGTATAACGAGACCGGTTGGTTATCAAGGGAATTTCTCAGTCCCTCACGAACTCACGCACCGCTTTCTGGCCCAGTTCAAACAAGCACATTTAACACAAGTTTAGCGTTGATAGCCTTGGGGTGCAACGGCTTCTAAACAAGTCGAGCAGCGACACTTTACGCCTTCGACTACTGCTCCCGCTCCATGCGAGGATGTATCATTTTCAATAACACTATGCACCTTGCTCGATCGATCACATCAAAGAACCAGGATCCGCGAATGAGAATTGTACCAGCCGTTGGGGTCCTAAGCGTAGGCGTCAGACAACATTTTGAGTCACAGAAGCACAGCATTCTTTGAGTCAGCCGGGAGACTCTTCTCGGCCATGCTGGAGCCCTCGAACAGCAAGTCACCGGGCGAATGAAATCTACAGCCGGGACATGGAGTCTGCCAACGCGCCCTTGGGGAGGGACATAGAGCGCTTTGCCACGGAAACGTCTACAGAAGGATGTGAAGAAATGATTACCCCGCGCACCAAGGTGGAATACCAGGATAGCTGCTACCAGCCTACCTCACAATGCGTGAATGTTGCTTCCTACAACACCCCGCGCTTTATACCGTCGATCGTCTATATGGGCAACGTGCGCAAAAGTCTTGCGCCACAGATCGAGGTTATGCGCTTCGCCTTCCGGCTACACGTATTGCCCATTTGTGGCGTGCATGCAAATCTGCTAGATGGTAAACTCCGATTAGTCACTTCGCATCGGAGGCTTTCGTGCGACCGGAATTGACAGATGAATACATGAGACAACTCTTCAGCATCATTCGCGAGATCACTCGGCCATGAGACTTGTGCATGTACGACTTCTGGCACGCTCTCCTTTCTCGATTTTGTTCGTTCCGGGCCTTTCCACTCGTTACATTCTTCAATGATCGCATTGGAACGGTCGCTTCCTGCTATGCACACACTGCAAACCCCAGGCCCGTGACAGCGAGCGGATGCAAAGGCACTATAACCAAGCTAAGTGCAGCGCAAACACAAAGTAACTTCCTGGTTTGAATGTCACAGGGTGACTCCTCACATGCAGACAACTGACGAAAACATTTTGAGTGCTCTGTCTACCTTAGAATCGAGGCGCTGCGCTATACAAGGTGGGCCGGGTGCGGACAGCGCGATGGAAGTATTCATTGGACCTTGGTCATTGAGGTGTTGGTATGCTCCGTTAGCACCACCGTTCCCTGTTGAGTGGTTGGGTCCACGTTGAGCCTTGAAGGAACAGAGTAGTGAGAACTGATTGGGGCCCACTGCCTCACCTCTCCCAAACGTGGCCACGCTCCAGAGGTAAGTGCGAGCCGCCCGCACCCGCTTAAGCTCAAGGTGTACAAGTAGATGTAAAAACCATTTGGTCGTGTCTCGGCCGAGAATGGCGTGTCAAATGGCCAGAGAGGCCACGCAAGTCGCGTAAGCGTGTCCACGACCCAAAAGGCATGGTTGGCTATTAGCCAACCCGAGATTGCCTGCGGTTACAACTTTCACATGTATCCTCAACCGAAAGCTCATCGGAGGACATCGTTTTGGGATCCAACCAGGATAAACGGAGCGCTTGAATAAGTTGAAAGGTGTCTCACGCCTGCCATCGCCATGAACGCAATCCTCAACCAGCTGGCGCCCCAAAGCGCTTCCTTGCACCGCCAGCCAGAGCTTCTGTCCGGACCAGAAGCCACACAAAGCTTCAGCATTCCAGCCCACGACGTGAGTTGAGATCGAGTCCGGGTCCATTCTGACTTTTCGTTCCGGTTTCTGAGACTGCGAAATGTGCTGCTTTGTATCGCGCTTCCGCCACATGTCCAGCCTGCCGGCTTCTTGGCACAGTACACAGATGTCGACTCTTCGAACGCTAACGCAAGGATCAAGATGCAGCACGGTACGACAACCCTCGCTTTTCGCTTTCAAGGTGGTATAATTGTTGCAGTTGATTCGCGAGCTACAGCAGGGTCGTGAGTGAATGGTGATTGGCCGCTTGGAAAATGCAGTCCTGATGGTGTGTCGCGTATTTCCCCTACAGTTACATTGCGTCTGGCTCGGTCAAAAAGGTTATCGAGATCAACCCCTACCTTCTCGGCACGATGGCGGGGGGTGCGGCTGGTGGGTGATTGGAGCTTCCATGATTTGAATCAATATGCTGATATTGAAACACTTGACAGATTGCTACTATTGGGAGAAATACCTCGGCACGCAATGTCGTCTGCATGAGCTTAGGAACAAGGAGCGGATCTCTGTTGCAGCCGCTTCCAAGTACCTCAGCAATCTGGTCTATGGCTACAAGGGGATGGGACTGAGCATGGGCACCATGATTTGCGGATGGGACAAGACGGTTCGTGGCAGGGCTACCTCTCAAGTAGGCTTTTGATTCGCTGACCCGTCTTGACCTTCTTAGGGCCCTGCGCTATTTTATGTCGATTCAGATGGGTCGCGACTGAAGGGAGACGTCTTTTCAGTTGGCTCAGGCTCCACATTTGCGTACGGAGTCCTTGACCAGGGTTACCATTGGGACCTGAGTGTTGAGGAAGCCCAGGAGTTGGCTAGACGAAGCATTTATGCTGCAACCCACAGAGGTGAGCCCTTTTCGGCTGAAAAAGGTCTTTGGTGATTCAGTTGACTCACCTGTTGCATTCACTGGTCTGCAGACGCGTACTCTGGTAACGTGAGACTCGAGATTCCTATCAATTTCACGACTGCTTCTCATCACTGATCCCGACCTGCCTCCCACTCACAGACTATCAACGTATACCACGTCAAGGAGAGTGGCTGGGAGTTCATCGCGAACTACAATGCCACCGAGCTTCATTATAATGGGTCAGGAGACGCACCTGGCTCGACAGGCGAACCTTATGGCTGGGACGCAAGGACACAGGACAAGTCTTCCACCATTGAGCTTCCCATTCCCCACCAGGGCGCAGCATTGACCAACGAGAAAACCCTCACTGCCCAGACCCAGCCTCAGCAGGCGTGAATATGACGTGCCATGTATTTTAAACTGCACAATAGGTGATGTCCATCATATCTCGGCTTCGGGCTTAGTTATGCTAAGCGATGCGTTCGGGGGAATGATATCAGCAAAATGGCGTGCATCATTTCCGGTGCGGGTGCGTTTGATCTGAGAGACCGTCGTGAAGCAAACTTGATGGCGCACGATCCCGCATGAAATGCTCCGAGAATCATGAGTTTGGGCTGCTTTCTCTGCTTTCCGAACAGAGTTCGAGCCGTCAGCAGCACTCAAATCTGACATGAGCGCATGTTCAGAGCCAATGCGGAATACTACCAACGAAATACGTCAGAATGATTGGCGAGGATGTATCCCTCGCCGAGTCCTTATGCGAGTCGTCCAGCGAGAACGAGGCAAACTAATAACTTTTCGAATACTCATAGAGTACATGTTGGCGCAAACGAAGATGTCGCAGAAAGCATGATGAACTCCGTATATGTTCTGTTACGATGTCAGAAGTGAGAAGAGGGAAACCGTGATCAGTGGACGCACAGTCCTTGATGATCGGTTGAACGAGTTGCCAGCTCATGATTACCGTAGACCAAACCGATATGCAGGTTGATGTCCAACACAATGGGCTCTCCCAAACCTATGCAGAAAGGCCCGAGGAAACCCATGAGCGCAGCGCTCCTGTCTGTCAAACCCTCCGCAATCAACTCTCCCTTAGTCCTTAGATGAGGCCTGCCTGTCCCCTTTCTCGGCCCGCGAGTGCGACGGGAGAGCATATTGCTAGCGAGCGTTTCGGGAATCAGGAAGTTGAGGATTATGAACGTGAA